CATTCAATGTACACATCTGTAATACCATGTCAGTGTGTTGATGAGATGTACTTGGGTTGTGCAGGAATATTATTCTGAACTAGTTGTAAACACTATCATACAACTTTACCTGTTTTCTTTTACACAGGCAGATCCTTCAGAGGATCAGTGGGTAAGTCTAAATCCACTTTGCTTAAACAGTTCATAGGTCAGTTGTTGCACTCAGTGGAATGTCTGAGGTAAAAACGAACAAACTGTGGAATATCATAATTCTACATTTTCAAAGAAAACAGAAAACTTACGAAGTATTGTAGTAGTCTTTAAGATGTTCATCTAGTGTGTCTTAAAGCTCTGTTGTAGACCCTGACACCCCAGCCAAAATGAAAAATACAACCTGTAACTATCACTACATCTATCACTATCATGTGCAACCATGACTGCTATCAAGACAAATATTTTATAACAGGACAGTTAGTATAGAACTATAGGATTATTTTGGAGATTATTAAGGAGATATTAGGTTTTGATTAGCGGGACAGTTAGTATAGAACTATAGGATTATTTTAGAGATTATTAAGGAGATATTAGGTTTTGATTAGCAGGACAGTTAGTATAGAACTATAGGATTATTTTAGAGACTATTAAGGAGATATTAGGTTTTGATTAGCGGGACAGTTAGTATAGAACTATAGGATTATTTTAGAGATTATTAAGGAGATATTAGGTTTTGATTAGCAGGACAGTTAGTATAGAACTATAGGATTATTTTAGAGACTATTAAGGAGATATTAGGTTTTGATTAGCAGGACAGTTAGTATAGAACTATAGGATTATTTTGGAGATTATTTTGGAGATATTAGGTTTTGATTAGCAGGACAGTTAGTATAGAACTATAGGATTATTTTGGAGATTATTAAGGAGATATTAAGTTTGGATTATTTTGGAGATTAAGGAGATATTAGGTTTTGATTAGCAGGACAGTTAGTATAGAACTATAGGATTATTTTGGAGATAATTAAGGAGATTTTAGGTTTTGATTAGCAGGACAGTTAGTATAGAACTATAGGATTATTTTGGAGATTATTAAGAAGATATTAGGTTTTATCCTTAGTCTAAAAAGAGGTGAGGCACGAACATACATACTAGCACTCACAACTCAGACAACAATACCCCCTGTAAATATTATATCTGCGATGTAAATTATGTATATAATACAGTATGCATATGCATAACTCACCTTTAAAAGTAAGAAAAATGCGAAATATTGCAAAAAGGCGAAAGAGAAATATTGAATTTTTTATTATTATTTCAATTATTTTCATTCGCTTCTCTTAAATGTTGTACTAGAGATATTCACTCAACACTCTATGGCCGCTTGACATATAGCGTTTAACGCAATTACTGCCATTTACTGGTGAAGAAAAATAGCAGTAACTTCCAGCTGCGAAAACAGTTGAAGTGTTCCATTGCAAAATGCTGTGTTTCCATTAATAAAACATTTAGATATAGCAAATTTTTAAAAAGAATAATAGATGTATAATGGGAAACACATTTACATTTTCTGAAGGTGGTATTTCTCAGAATAACTGTGGCATATATTAAGATTATTCACAGTTTTAATTAAATCAAGTGCCTATTTTCAGTAAATAAACTAGTTTACAGTTTATTAAACATACAACAGTTCATGTTTCTGTTGTAACAGTGTGACATTGCAGTATGACAGGTAATCATAAATTGCATGAATAGAATGAAACTAACAGAGCTTCTGGCAGTTTGCCAATGTGTACTAACATTCTTTTTGTATGCTTAATTAACACATGAATTCCTAATTAATTCAGGCACTGAATAAAGCCTTTATTACCTTCATCTTCATTCATTAGTACATGTGTTAGTAATTTAGTCTTGCGGTTGTTAATATATGACTTTCATTTGTTCCTGATTAATGACTCATTACTTTCTGATTAGTTATTCATTAGTAAATGCCTTAATTACTGCCAGTTCATGTACCCTTATTATAAAGTGTTACCAGAAATTCAAAACATCACTAAAACTGTCACAGATTCCTCTGTCCCTCTTCATCTGTTTCTTCCCCTGTGTTGTAGCCATGTGCTTTTTAGCCATGTGCTTGTACAAATCGACTAGTCTGTGCAATTCCTAGTTGTTAGAAATGAAAAGTTTAGCAGAGCTCTACAGTATCTTGCAATAGATTTGAGCTCACTGGTGCTCTGTAGCTAAAAGCAGATTTTTCATAGTTCAGTAATAATGCTTGGTCCCTGAAGGAAGTTTTTGTCCCAGTTTGCCTGCAAAGTTATTGATATGGCATCTAATAGTACATTTGTCATCTAGCCTTATGACAAGGTACTTATATTCAGTGACTCTTACAATGTTGAATCCTTTCAGGGTCCTGATTTTCAAAATGAATATCAATCGATGCTAAAAGCTCTGAAAAAAAAATGACTTTTCCACATTTAAAACTCATTTATGGTTGTAAAAGGCAGTTTTTATTGCATTAAAAGAGCGCTGCAATTTTTCTATTGCTACAAAGATAGAGTCGGTAGAACAGTTTCATCTGCAAAGAGAGGCACTTTGCAGTCCACAATGGAGGTGGTGACAATTATTATAGATATAAAATCGGTCCCAAAACTGAGCCCTGAGGAACACCTTTAAGTTTATTTTGCTCCAGGGCAACACACTGTGGCAACAGATAATGCTGAACCTATCTAGAAGCATTGTGGGCAAATCCAATATGTTGTAGAATTTTTCAAAGTAGCCAGTGACCATCTGTGTGACATGGTTTGGAAAGATCATTACAATCGGATGCACAATGTTTTGTTCTGTCTATTGCAGTAAAAATATAATTTAAAATAAGTGTGGTAGCAGATATGTTTTCTTCTGAAATGGGATCGGTAGGTACACAAAATGGAGTACATGGAGACATGACATGAGTTGATTGTTCACAAAAGATTCTAAAATTTTTGCTAAGCATGACAAGGTACATATGCTGTACATACAAACAAACTATGAAATATCATAGTTTTACATTTGCAAAAGAAAGCAGCAAACTCAAGAAGTATTGTAGTGTTCTAAGCTTTCCCTAACAAAACAATGTTTATTCAAGCGTGCTATTAGTATACTTCTTTTAAATTAAAAAATAAGGGAGTATGCTTTTAATTTACTTTTTATATACTTGGCTTATACTGACAAGTATACAGAAAAGTCTGTTTGGTGTATACTTGTACTTAATCTTTTGATCGAGATATACTTAAAAAATATAATTCAGTATTCTTTTCTTATGCATATATAGTTTAAGTATACTTGGTGTGTAGTCTGGGGTGGAATAGCTTAGAGTAAATAGTACATGGGTAGAACTGAACATGATCTTTTAGGTGTTATTAACCCACATAGAATCAGATAAATATTTGACTGTTTTAATTGACAATTGTTCCAAGGTCTGAGTTTGTTGTGTTTTGTTTTGAACAGTAATATCAATTTAAGTTTTTATGTTTTCTTAGTTTGGTATCCAAAACAATATTTGTTTGAATTTTTTTATTTATAAAGAAAACAAATGTTTTTGTTTTTTTTTTTAATCCTGAGTTTGTCTAATGGATTTTATATGTGTAGTTCACTTGTAGTGTTCATGTTAGTTAACTTTAAATCTACTTAAAGTACAATTAACGGTATTTTTCAAGTATATAAATTAATACCTAGTAAAATGGCAAAATAATATACAAGTAGTGATCTACAAGTATTATATTAAGATCACTTAAAGAAAATTTACTAATATACTTGCAGTATAAAACTATTAAAGTAAAAGTTTACTGAGAGTACATTTAAAAGTGTATTTTTTATAAATTAAAAAGTGGAATAGAATTATTACGGCAATGGAGAGGCAGAGATGGCCACACATGTGCAAGGTGCTCCTCTCCCAGGAGCAGCTGAGGCCAATCCAGGTGGAGCATGGACTCTTTAAAAGACTGGCTGTCTTCAGCATGGAGGGGAGAGAGAGCCTGGTCTAAAGAGACTGAGGAAAAAGGACCTTAAGATAAGAAAGAAATGAGATTAGTTCAGATTGGTTTCTGTTTTTGTTCACCAATGTGTAAATAAAGACTTTTTCTTGGCCTGCATGGGCTCTCAGCCACAGCAGCTCAGCCTCTCTCCAGGCCGCCACCACAGTATATAACTAGTAAACTAAAAGTATACCTATAAGTTTACTTATAGTGTAGTTCACAGTATAGATGCAGTACAAAGTGAAACTGTGTAAAGTGTAGTAGTTGTGTACAACAGAGAGAAAATCTAATAGTGTGTTGTCTGTTCGTGTTTATGGGTTTATTTAGTCTGATCCGTTTTTGTTTTTTTTTCATATAAATGTGTGTATATATACTGTTTGCTTGTGGAATACTTCAAAGTCACTTTCATAAACTAGAAAGTGGACTAGTATTATGTAATTAGTAACCTAACAACTAACACTGTATATATATACAGTTTACTTGGGAAATACTTCAAAGTATACTTTCATAAACTAAAAAGTTTATGAAACAACTAGTTGTGTGATCAAAGTTTACTACTCTTTCACCTAAAGTAAACTTAAAAGTGGGCCAATTTAGTCCCAAGAAGCATTTAAATAGTAAATTTACTAGTATACCACTACAACATTGATGTTACTATACTTACTATATAGTGTATACTTTTTTTTTACTAAGGGTTAAGATGTTCAACTCACATGTCTTAAAGCTCTGTTGTTGGCCTGGACACACTAGCCAATATGAAAAAAATGTAACTATCATGAGCAAACATTACAGCTATCAAGTCAAATATTTTATAGCAGGACAGTTAGTATAGAACTGTATGATTATTTTGGAGATTAATGTGCAGCACTCCCTTAGATGTAAAATGACATTCAATGTACACATCTGTAATACCATGTCAGTGTGTTGATGAGATGTACTTGGGTCGTGCAGGAATATTATTCTGAACTAGTCGTAAACACTATCATACAACTTTACCTGTTTTCTTTTACACAGGCCTCTTCAGAGGATCAATGGGTAAGTCTAAATCCACTTTGCTTAAACAGTTCATAGGTCAGTTGTTGCACTCAATGGAATGTCTGAGGTAAAAACGAACAAACTGTGGAATATCATAATTCTACATTTTCAAAAGAAAACAGAAAACTTACGAAGTATTGTAGTAGTCTTTAAGATGTTCATCTAGTGTGTCTTAAAGCTCTGTTGTAGACCCTGACACCCCAGCCAAAATGAAAAATACAACCTGTAACTATCACTACATCTATCACTATCATGTGCAACCATGACTGCTATCAAGACAAATATTTTATAACAGGACAGTTAGTATAGAACTATAGGATTATTTTGGAGATTATTAAGGATATATTAGGTTTTGATTAGCAGGACAGTTAGTATAGAACTATAGGATTATTTTGGAGATTATTAAGGAGATTTTAAATTTAGATTAGCAGGACAGTTAGTATAGAACTATAGGATTATTTTGGAGATTATTTTGGAGATATTAGGTTTTGATTAGCAGGACAGTTAGTATAGAACTATAGGATTATTTTGGAGATTATTAAGGAGATATTAAATTTGGATTATTTTGGAGATTAAGGAGATATTAGGTTTTGATTAGCAGGACAGTTAGTATAGAACTATAGGATTATTTTGGAGATTATTAAGGAGATATTAAGTTTGGATTATTTTGGAGATTAAGGAGATATTAGGTTTTGATTAGCAGGACAGTTAGTATAGAACTATAGGATTATTTTGGAGATTATTAAGGAGATTTTAGGTTTTGATTAGCAGGACAGTTAGTATAGAACTATAGGATTATTTTGGAGATTATTAAGGAGATATTAGGTTTTGATTAGCAGGACAGTTAGTATAGAACTATAGGATTATTTTGGAGATTATTTTGGAGATATTAGGTTTTGATTAGCAGGACAGTTAGTATAGAACTATAGGATTATTTTGGAGATTATTAAGGAGATATTAAATTTGGATTATTTTAGAGATTAAGGAGATATTAGGTTTTGATTAGCAGGACAGTTAGTATAGAACTATAGGATTATTTTGGAGATTATTAAGGAGATATTAAGTTTGGATTATTTTGGAGATTAAGGAGATATTAGGTTTTGATTAGCAGGACAGTTAGTATAGAACTATAGGATTATTTTGGAGATTATTAAGGAGATTTTAGGTTTTGATTAGCAGGACAGTTAGTATAGAACTATAGGATTATTTTGGAGATTATTAAGGAGATATTAGGTTTTGATTAGCAGGACAGTTAGTATAGAACTATAGGATTATTTTGGAGATTATTTTGGAGATATTAGGTTTTGATTAGCAGGACAGTTAGTATAGAACTATAGGATTATTTTGGAGATTATTAAGGAGATATTAAGTTTGGATTATTTTGGAGATTAAGGAGATATTAGGTTTTGATTAGCAGAACAGTTAGTATAGAACTATAGGATTATTTTGGAGATTATTAAGGAGATTTTAGGTTTTGATTAGCAGGACAGTTAGTATAGAACTATAGGATTATTTTGGAGATTATTAAGAAGATATTAGGTTTTATCCTTAGTCTAAAAAGAGGTGAGGCACGAACATACATACTAACACTCACAACTCAGACAACAATACCCTGTGTAAATATTATATCTGCGATGTAAATTATGTATATAATACAGTATGCATATGCATAACTCACCTTTAAAAGTAAGAAAAATGTGAAATATTGCAAAAAGGCAAAAGAGAAATATTGAATTTTTTTATTATTTCAATTATTTTCATTCGCTTCTCTTAAACGAGATATTCACTCAACACTCTATGGCCACTTGACATATAGCATTTAACGCAATTACTGCCATTTACTGGCAAAGAAAAATAGCAGTAACTTCCAGCTGCGAAAACAGTTGAAGTGTTCCATTGCAAAATGCTGTGTTTCCATTAATAAAACATTTAGATATAGCAAATTTTTAAAAAGAATAATAGATGTATAATGGGAAACACATTTACATTTTCTGAAGGTGGTATTTCTCAGAATAACTGTGGCATATATTAAGATTATTCACAGTTTTAATTAAATCAAATGCCTATTTTCAGTAAATAAACTAGTTTACAGTTTATTAAACATACAACAGTTCATGTTTCTGTTGTAACAGTGTGACATTGCAGTATGACAGGTAATCATAAATTGCATGAATAGAATGAAACTAACAGAGCTTCTGGCAGTTTGCCAATGTGTACTAACGTTCTTTTTGTATGCTTAATTAACACATGAATTCCTAATTAATTCAGGCACTGAATAAAGCCTTTATTACCTTCATCTTCATTCATTAGTACATGTGTTAGTAATTTAGTCTTGTGGTTGTTAATGTATGACTTATTCATTTGTTCCTGATTAATGACTCATTACTTTCTGATTAGTTATTCATTAGTAAATGCCTTAATTACTGCCAGTTCATGTACCCTTATTATAAAGTGTTACCAGAAATTCAAAACATCATTAAAACTGTCACAGATTCCTCTGTCCCTCTTCATCTGTTTCTTCCCCTGTGTTGTAGCCATGTGCTTTTTAGCCATGTGCTTGTACAAATCGACTAGTCTTTGCAATTCCTAGTTGTTAGAAATGAAAAGTTTAGTACAGCTCTACAGTATCCTGCAATAAATTTGAGCTCACTGGTGCTCTGTAGCTAAAAGCAGATTTTTCATAGTTCAGTAATAATGCTTGGTCCCTGAAGGAAGTTTTTGTCCCAGTTATTGATATGGCATCTAATAGTACATTTGTCATCTAGCCTTATGACAAGGTACTTATATTCAGTGACTCTAACAATGTTGGATCCTTTCAGGGTCCTGATTTTCAAAATGAATATCAATGCTAGAAGCTCTGAAAAAAAATGACTTTTCCACATTTAAGACTTGTTTACGGTTGTAAAAGGCAGTTTTTATTGCATTAAAAGAGTGCTGCAATTTTTCTATTGCTACAAAGATAGAGTCGGTAGAACAGTTTCATCTGCAAAGAGAGGCACTTTGCAGTCCACAATGGAGGTGGTGACAATTATTATAGATATTAAATAAAATCGGTCCCAAAACTGAGCCCTGAGGAACACCTTTAAGTTTATTTTGCTCCAGGGCAACACACTGTTTCTATCTAACAGATAATTCTGAACCTATCTAGAAGCATTGCGGGCAAATCCAATATGTTGTAGAATTTTTCAAAGTAGCCAATGACCATCTGTGTGACATGGTTTGGAAATCATTACAGTCGGATGCACAATGTTTTGTTCTGTCTATTGCAGTAAAAATATAATTTAAAATAAGTGTGGTAGCAGATATGTTTTCTTCTGAAATGGGATCGGTAGGTACACAAAATGGAGTACATGGAGACATGACGTGAGTTGATTGTTCACAAAAGATTCTAAAATTTTTGCTAAGCATGACAAGGTACATATGCTGTCTTCCAGTTACAGGGAATTCTGCTTGATGAAGCAAAAAGATTAAAAATGTACATAATATGTTCTAAAATAATGTTGGTTGCAAGCTGCAGAAAAAAGGATTGAATCTGTCCTGTACTTTTTCTTGGGTTCATAACATTGAGAACTTCAGCTATGTGAGGAGAGAGAGGGTGAAAAGTGAAATGACCATGGCTTACAGTTGGGGTTACATCTGTTACATTAAAAGGTGGTTCCATATCACTATTGTCAAATAATTGTCCAGCAGCTGAGAAATGCGCTTTAAAGGCTTGACAGAGCTCTTTCTGATCAGGGGGTTGATGGTCATTAAGTGAGACCTGGTCAGAAGGGGTACTGAGTTATAACTGAATGAATTAACTGCCTTCCAGAATTTGAAGGCTATTAACTGAAACTTGCAAAGAAATTAAGATAATAGTTTGATTTAGCATTTCTGACAGAGGAGATGCATTTATTCCGCAGCTGCCTAAATGTGAGCCAGTGATCTCTGTCCCAAATGCATATGGTGAGGGTACACACTTTGTTTCTTGCTTTAAGCAAAGAAGAAATTTCAGAAGTGAACTAAGCATTGAATCTGTCCTGAATTCTGATTTTTTTTAAAAGGGGTGTGCTTATTGACGACTGCAAGAAATGTTTTACTAAAATGATCTAGTGATATGTGTGATTTCTAATTTTTGTAAAACTTTGATTCTATAGACGGAGGGTTCCAGAAAAGATTAAAATTGTTGATACAAGTCATTTTGTTTACTGGAAGCTTCCTGAAGCCAACTATAGAGACTCAAAATGCAGCTAATATGCCTTCAGCCTTTTGCCAGGGGTGGGATGGTGCCAAAAATAAAAATCCTTTTGCTGCAGTTTCTTAAGAATGAAAAGAGTCACAGAAAATCTAATTTCAGGATTTCTGATTTTTAATCTCTAATATCATTACATCTAACATGAATAATAATGTTGGGAACACACATCGAGTGTATAATTAGGAGACTGAGAAGCTGCTGCGTAATGTCACTGACCTTGGCGCATGACAAGGAGCACTTTAGTCTCCTATTATGAAGAAAAGCGGTGGAGACTAATGAGTCGGCAGCCTGATGGAGTTCACCAGTTGGGATCTGTGAGAATGTTGTGCATTGGAACCCAGCAGTGGGGATCGCCATGAATGCCGCTCTGAGGTGGCCTGTGGTGAAGGGCTGCATGAGTGCTTCTCTGAGGAGGCCTGTGGTGGGGAGAAGAGCAAATGCCACTCAGGAGGCAGAGAAGGGCATTATTAAGAGCATTATTTCTTGTGTCAGTATTTACAAAATGATCATGAGTGCTTTTCTGATTGGTGAGACCGTTTGTTGTGTTGTGTTGTATGTGGCCGATGCTTCGGTTTTTTGTGCACAGATGCTACTGTGTTGTATTAAATGCTTTTACCATTCTAAGAACTGCACTCAGAGAATGAGAGCAGTCTACTGGGAAATACATTGATTAGTTATTAATGTAAATATAACTGTGACTTTTTTCAAAACAGTGAATGAGAAAATTTAGCACTTAAAATACTAAACGTTTAGCTTTGAAAACCTTTAATATTTTGTCTTTTGCAGTTTTGATCTGGATGTCAGTTCTGTTAATCTTGGAGGTCATAAGCGCATCATCATCAGTCTACATTCATTATGTCTCACTGGACACCTTGGATACTCAGAAAGGTAGGTACCTGCACATCAGTCAACTTCAGAGCTATTGGCACCACTTAAGAAACTGGAATTAATTTTAATTTTATGCAATATATTTAATCATTCATTCAAATGCTCCTTAAAATGTTTCTTCAAACACGATCATGGCAATAATAAAAAGTTTGAAAAGTATGGAAGTTTCAGAACTGCACAGTTTAGCTGAATTTTGGAACTGTCATTTTTACACTCCACTGTCAGACACCACATCCATGACCAGAATCTTTTTGGAAGAGTTCCATGAAGGAAGCCTTTCCTGAGAGCAAGCCATAAAACATCATTGGAACAAATGGAATTGTGTGGTCAGATGACAAAAACTGAACTTTTTGGTTATGCACCCTAATGATACAATGAAAAATAAAAGTGGGCCTAAGACAGAGCCCTGTGATACAAAGTCTATATGTATAAAGTATAAAATATCAGATATGTTCCGCGATTAAAATACACAATTTTAATGCAGACATATGTGGTAGTATTATATATACAGTCAAAATTTATAGATGCCCTCCAGTCTGATTCTGTGCCCCTCTAAAATTGGTCTGGATACCACTGGCACTGTTAGAACATAAGTAGCTTTTGGTGTTTTGTAACAACAGTTCATCAGATTAATTAACACTGTGTCTTTGTTTTTGAGTGGATATGACAAAGAATTTGTAGAAGCTTTAAAAAATGAGAACAATCTAACTCAAATCCATCCAGCCCTCATAGTAACACCTGCTGAGAGAGCAAAACAGAACTAACTACAGTAACACAACGCAATATGTATTGAGAAGTATATATTAGATGTTTATTTTTGACACAGATTCAGAGACACTCAGAGCCACCAGAAGGATCAATGCCATCACTCACCAAACACGACATGAATAAAGGACAATGCAAAATGTTTTTCTCACAATGCAGTCAGGCAGGTAACATTCCCCTGGCATTCACCAAACTCAGATTCATCCATCAGACCAAATAGAGAAGCATGATTTGTCACTTCACAGAATGTGTTTCCACTGCTCCAGAGCTGTGTGTAGCTGCTCGGCCGTGGAAGCCCATTTCATGAAGCTTCTAACGCGCAGTTCTTTTGCTGATGTTGCTTCCAGAGGCAATTTGGAACTCTTTAGTGAGTGATTCAACAGAGGATAGACACTGTGCACTTCAGCACTCACCAGCCCCAGTCTGTGAGTTCGCGTTGTGTACGGCTTCAAGGCTGAGTTGTTGTTGATCCTAGTTGCTTTCATTTCACTGACTTGTGGCTGAGGTGACATCCTATGTCAGTGCCAGGTTTAAAGTCACTGAGCTCTTCAGTACGACCCATTCTACTGCCAATGTTTGTCTATTGAGACTTTCAAGGCGATGTGCTTAATTTTATCCACCTGTTAGCAATGGGTGTGGCTGAAACACCTGAACTCAATAATTAGGAGGTGTGTCCCAATACTTTTGTCTATATAGTGTATTATCAACTTGCTCAAGTCAATTTACTGTCTCCTGAATAAATTGCATGAGTAAATCATGTTGGGTGGGTAAAAGCATTTCTAAATAAATTCTAAAACAATCAATAGTAAAGGTGGCAAGTGACAATGCTAATACACATGCTTATGTCACAGGTCCCCCAGTCAGACTCCACCCCTTTGCTTTAAGGGTTACTTTCCCTGCCTTGGGAAATGAGCATGCCACACCTTACCGATAAGAGTCACTGGGCAAGACTCCTAACACTACACTCACCTCTGCACTCACATTTTCTCTGTAATATGATTCAAGGATAAGAGCATATGCCAAATGCACCAACGTAAATAGATCTTGCATTTACATTGTATCTCCTTGTCTGCTGTTGCCTTGTTACAGCTTGTGAATTCATGCTAAAAACTTCTTTATAGGGGGTATATAGCCTAGTAAGCTCTTTCTTGACATCTTTGGCATTTGGTCATTCAGTGTTAAAGCACTGCTGTTCCATTGTTACAAGTAATAAATATTTTTTGTTTAGGAGTTACAGTTGGGATATAACTTTATTTTTGTGTAATAGGTCTTAGAATAGTTCATGCTAGAATATACATTTTATATTGTTTGTGGTATAAATATCTTTAACAGAATGCAAAAACCATTATGTTTTGTTGTTTGCAGGCACATTATTTTGGATGGTTGTCCTGGCTAAATCATTACATTTCTTTTTTTTTTTACAGAACGTGTAGGACTGATCTGTGTGACGGCATATCTGTACATTTTGTCTGGGATGATATTGTTTAAAGCACTGTTTCATGTCTATGGTAAGGTATTTGTTGTTTGCACCAGTCTTTTTCAGAAAGTTCTGCTAATAGAGCAAACAGAAAAAGTAATGCATGTTGGCCTTTTTCATCAAAGTTATGTATAAATGGGCACAGTTTGGAAGACCCTAAATAAAGTACAGACTTCCCCATCTTTGAATCATAAAATATGCAATTGATGATTGACCTTCAGCTGCATCCACTTTCCTTATGTACACAATGAGAGATTGTGTTTGAGAAATATGTTTTCTGAGTTGTTTGTTCTCTCATAGTTATTCACTGGTTTGTTCTGACCAAAGACTTTTATTCTGAAGGCAGGCTAGCTGCCAAGCAGTGTTTTTGCCTATACAATATGAAGAACTGTGTCAGCTGGGGGGCTCACTCAGCCTGCAATTGTTTTATTTGATTCTAGTAAACATTTAATATGATTTTGGTACCTTTTAGTTATCATTCTTTTTATGTATTCTATTACCAACTATTACTTTTTAGTTACTGTTAAGTTATTGGTTTACTTTTACTTTTTCTTTGTCTTTGTTTTTTTTTTTAATTGTATCCCTTTTTTCATCTGTAAATTATTAGTATTTCATTTTTGCAATTTAATCAATTCTTTTTAATATTAAATTTACTACAACCCAATTTCCAAAAACGTTGGGACATTGTGCAAAATGTAAATAAAAACAAAATGCAATGATGTGCAAATCATTTAAACCCTATATTTAATTGAAAATAGTACAAAGACAACAAATCAGATGTTGAAACTGAGAAATTATATTGTTTTTTGAAAAATATGATCCAATTTTGAATTTGATGCCAACAATGCATTCCAAAAAAGTTGAGACGGGGCAACAAAGACTGGTAAAGTTATGTAATGCTAAAAAACACCTGGTGGTTGATTGGCAACAGGTCAGTAACATGATTGGGTATTAAAAGCGCATCCCAGAGAGGCTGAGTCTTTCAGAAGTAAAGATGAGGAGGGGTTCACCACTCTGTGAAAGACTGTATGAGCAAATAGTGCAACAATTCAAGAATAACGTTTCTCATCATAAAATAACAAAGAACTTTTGCTTTTCATCATCTACGGTACATAATATCATTAAAAGATTCAGAGAATCTGGAGAAAACTCTGTATGCAAGGGACAAGGCCGAAAACCAGTATTTGCTGGCCGTGATCTTTGGGCCCTCAGGCGGCACTGCATTAAAAACAGACACAATTCTGTAGTGGAAATCACTGCATGGGCTCAGAAACACTTCTGAAAACCACTGTCTCTGAACACAGTTCATCACTGCATCTACAAATGCAAGTTAAAACTCTAAAACGCAAAGAAGAAACCAAATCAGGATCCAGGAACGTTGCCACCTTCTCTGGGCCCAAGCTCATTTAAAATGGACTGAGGCGAAGTAGAAAAGTGTTCTGTGGTCTGACGAATCAACATTTGAAATTCTTTTTGGAAATCATGGACACTGTGTCCTCCGGGCTAAAGACCACTCAGCTTGTTATCAGTGCACAGTTCAAAGTATTCGTGATGGTACAGGGGTACATTAGTGCACATACCATGGGTGATATGCACATCTGTGAAGGCACCATTAATGCTGAATGATATCTACATGTTTTGGCAACATATGCCGCCATCCAGATGATGTCTTTTTTGGGGAAGGCCTTGATTATTTCAGCAAGACAATGTAAAACCACATTCTGCACGTATTACAACAGCAGTGCTCCGTATTAAAAGAGTCCGGGTGCTAAACTGACCTGCCTGCAGTCCTGACCAGTCACCCACTCATAACATTTGGCACATTGTGAAATGAAAAATTTGACAAAAGAGACCGCAAACTGTTGAGCAGCTGAAATCCTATATCAAACAAGAGCAGTTTCTACATTTGTTATGTTGTCTTTGTAGTATTTTCCTTTAAAAATATGGTTTGCATGATTTGCTGATCATTCCATCCTATTTTTATTTACATTCAGCACAGCATCCCAACTTTTTTGGAAATAGGGTTGTATGGTGATTATTATTGTTTTTAGCATTCGTTCAGTTTTTTCAGATCAAATTTTTTCAAAACCTGATTTCTGTTTCTGTTACCCTCAATATACTCCAGGTTTACTATTTTTATTCATTATTAAATTTCAGTTCTTTACATATTGCATGCTGTCAGTATTCAAACTGAATTACCCATTATTTTCATTATTGTCATGTGCAGAATGATGATATTGTTGATCATGATGATGAAGATTTATTATTATTATTATTATTATTATTATTATTATTTTCCATTTAACCGCTGGGATAGGCTTCAGCTCCCCCATGACCCAGAAGCATAAGAGGCTTAGAAAGTGTGTGTGTGTGTGTCTGTGTGTGTGTTTCATTTTAATATTATTACTGTTTTAAAACAATTTTCAGTATTTAACCACAAATCAAGCAGGCTGTTAGGTTATTAAGCTCAATTTTACCTGCACTCTGACCAGACATATGTTTGATTATGCAGATACCCCAAAGATTAAATCTTTGAACAAAACTACCTTAGAAATTTGTGTATTTTGACTTTAAAATCAGATTTGAGCATGCACAACTTTGATGGATAAGGGCCAAAGTCTGTTATTTAAGTGTTTTCTGACACCCCGGCTTATCTGTGTTATACTTGATAATAACAGCACTTTTACTAAAGATCAGCTCTTGTGTTGTATCCACTGCTTTTCTCAACAATTTGTCTAGCATGTACTTTTTGTTGACTGCATATAGCTTTGAACTGGTTCATGTTAACAGACAAACCTTTTTTCAGGATTATTGAATGAATTACTGTGGCCACAAGTGTTTTATTTATTTGCTTGTATTAATTCACAGATTGTAGCCTTACCTCTGGAATTTGATATGTACCCCAGCACATCTCTCCCTTTGTTGTAAAAGGCCAGATCCCTCCCTGAAATGTCTAGGTTACTGCTTCCACTGGCTAGTCAACACTTTCAACTCTAACCTTTTACCTTTGCACAGGACGCTTCACCAGAAGACCACATTCTAACAGGACACAGCAATCAGTGGGTGAGTACAAATCCACATTTTGCAGTGTATGCAGAAGTTTAACCACCCTAGGGTCAGATCTGTGCTTCATACAATAAACCACCAGGTTTACTGTGACCGTAAGAGTAAATAGCGTGGCAGTAACGTGTTTGCACATTAATGAACAGGATTACTGGCACGTCTTACCACTTGTGCAATATGAGTCGTGGTCACACTATTATCTCATTTCAATATAATGTTATCGATTCATAACATGGGACAATATTAGAAAAAACAACACCTGGACCACTCTGACAGTAATATCCCTGGTAAGAAACCGATGTGGATTAAATGATACTTTCTCCCGTATTTCTAAGCGTGTTTGATCTCACCTGCAACAAAACGCACATAGACACACTCAGCTATTATTAACCAATATATTTAAAATATACGTTTTGATCTGTTTGGACAGAGCAGCACGACAAACCTAGCCATAGTTGTAGGAGTACAGAGGAGAAAAAAAAGACTTGAGCAGGATTTCAGTTTAGCAGACTTACTGGCGCTCTGATTTAAAACAGCCCCTACTTTCTGCATCACAGTTGTTGTTTCTGAAATCCTTCCAGTGTGTAGAAAGTGGCTTTAGCTTCTAATCCAAATAAATTGATTTAAATTGATACAATTAAAGAGTAATTTGACATGTTGAGATTCTACATGTTCAAATTGATTTTGCTGGAAGCAGTTTAAGGATTTAGTAGTATTTTTCAATTTGCAATGGATTTTACAAAATAACTTGCAATTTATACGTGATTACTTATTTACTAGTAAAAAATAATTTCTTACAAGTAAAAAAAACATGTTTTTACATGTGCAAATCATATTTCTGATATCAATAATGAAATATTTACTAGTTGAAATTGAATTTTCTCATGTGTAAATTGAATTACTGAGGTCAATAAAAATAGGAAATAAAAACTAAAATAGCTTGCCATAGCAATTAGAATTTTAGCATGTCCATTTGAAATTGTAATTGTAATAAAAATACCATGTTACTTTCATTTATGTTAGTAAAAATTACTGCTGTAATTACAATGAATTGGAAAAGGGGTTTTGTTATTATTATTATTATCATTATTATTATTATAATTGTTTAAATAGAAAAATTAAATTGTGCATGCTAAAATAAAATTCCTTCAATTAAAATTTGAATTTTAAGATGTTCTAGTCAGATTTTTTGTTTGTAAATTTCATTTTTGTTAGCGTAAAAACATTTTCTGATAAACCTTGTTTCTTGATTAAAAGTTGGAAGGATCTTTAATAAATTATTTATGTAGACTGTTTTTGTTGGCACGTCTTCTCTTAAAATTGATAGCTCTGTTTCAGAGAACTTTGGGTTTATTTCTTTGTTTTCATATGTTTTGGCAGCCGAACAGAGCTTCACTTAACGTGAGTCTTTAATATGTCTGAACTCATTTACATGTTGATTTTCACTGGCTCTTGTCCAGAACATTGCGGTCTCAGCGGACATTTACTGTATTTCTCTTATACATAACCAACTCAGACTTTTCACTGGCCTTTACTCAAGTCAGATTTTTCTAGCACACTTTCCAGCAGTCTCTTCTTTCTGCTGACTGTCTGTATGTCTTTCTCCCTTTATCTGCCCTCTTCAAAGACACTTGCGCTGCCAAAGCCAAAGCATCCTCAACTGGCTCGCTTTAAGGGGAGCACCTGAACCTAGAGTGAGAGATCTTGTTGCTCCACCTCCATATCACCTTCACCCTCTCTACAGCATGACCACCAGGGTCAAACGTCATGTTGTAGCAGGAGGTGGGGCTCAGTCCTCACGCAGCCTATTGGGGCTCTCGTTGGTGATTAGGGCTCAGCTACCTGGCACAGTATACTTCATTGGATTCTATATCAGTACTACAACACTAGTACATACACAGTTCAGAAGTAGTTAATTGATAAACTTACACACAAGCATGTGAGTCATTATCTAGCTAACTTGTCAGCTCGCAAGTTAACTAAATAACAATAGCTAAACTGAAGTTGCATTCATTCGTCAGTTAGCATTCACTTGTTCTGAACTACAGTTAAAGTTATCTCAAGACTTATTTTCTTAATCCTCCAACCACTGCTCAACAGTCGTTGCTATCAAGCTTTTAGTTCTTTATTGGTGCGCCAGTGTGCCTAGTGTTTTGAATTTAAAGCTCCAGCTGTGGTCAAAAGATGTGCCAAGATGCATAAAAATCAAGACCCAACAGAGTGTGTCATTTTCTACCCATTTCCAAAGCCAAAAAAAAATTACAAAATGTCAGTTTGTGTTAAAAAAGTTGCCATGCCTTTGGTCTGTGAATTTGGTGTTCTTTTACCACAAAAGCTACTACAAAATATCTTCTTCCATGCATAAATCATCAAAGGTAAGATATAAATGGTCTGTAAACATTTTTTCATGTGTTTGGAAATAACACAGGATTTTTATTCCAGCTGGACCAGTTATACATCATTGAATTCACTTTTTCGAAGTAACTAATTCAATCATTGTTTTCCACACAGAGTTGAATTCTACAGTCACAGAGGCACAGCAAACATCAGGTAATTGTAAAACTCTGTTTTTCCTGCTCTACCTGATCCAACTAATCAGCTCTTTAACATGCCTGTCATGAAGGGATGCTTTAAATAGGTTTGACGTTTGTTTTCTGCTGTCTGGTTTGAATTGTTAAGTCAGCTTCACTGAACAAAGTTGTGGTGAGGGGACGCATGCTTTATAATAAAAGGTGTTGCAGTGTTGGTTGGCTTTATGTGTTAGTGTGGGCTTGTCAATCATGGCTTTATGTTAATCTTGTTTTCTGTGATCATTAACACAATATTATTTCTTACTGAACACTGTATTATATTGTGTATTGTTTGTGGGTGCTTTATAAAAGCGTTAAACCATTTGAGACTTAATTCTGCATTACAGTCATTTCACTACGGATAGAGTGTTTAATTCTCTGTTGCATTGTGACTAGCATCAGCATTTAACCTGCAGCTTAATGCTGTTTTTACCTGCTGTGTACAGTAAGCTTTGAGGTTCAAACCACTAACAAATCATAATACGCCCACCTTGAGAGGTTTGTCTCTCTGTTTATATGAGTCAGAGTTCATTTGAAATGATTACATAAAGCCAGGTCCATAAGTATTTGGATAGTGATACAATTTTTGTAATTTTACCTCTGTTTTACCACCACAGTAGACTTGATATGAAGCAAGATGTGACTGAAGTGTAGACTTTCAGCTTTAATTTGAGAGATTTAACAAATATTACATTACCGTTTAAGAATTATAGCCATTTTTACATAGTCCTTCCATTTTGACAGGTTCAAAAGTAATTGGACTTTTGACTGATAAACAGTTTCATGGCCAGGTTTGGTCTGTTCCCTCATTATTTCATGACAAATTAAGGATATAAAAGTATTAGTCATCATTAGGCCGAAAAAACAAGGCAAACCTATCAGAGAGATAGCAGAAATGTTAGGAGTGGCCAAATCAACAATTTGTGACTGCTGATAGAAGTGGCAGGATGAATTCTGAAGTATATAGAGCTATAATTTCTGCTTAAGCTCTGTCAAATGTTGCAAAACTGATAGGACAGCACTTCTCAGTTCAAATGGATCATGACTCAAAACGTACTAGGAAAGCAACCCAACAGCTTCTTAAAGAAAAGAAATTGAATGTTCTTCAATGGCTGAGTCAGTCACCTGACTTCAACCCAGTTGAGCATGCTCTTCACTTACTGAAGACAAAATCGAAGGCTGAAAGACCCACAAGCAAGCAGCAACTGAAGACAGCTGCAGTAAAGGCCTGGCAAAGCATCTCAAGGGAGGGAACTCAGCATTTGGTGATGTCCATAGGTTCCAGACTTCAGGTAGTCATTGACTGCAAAGGATTGCAAATTAAAAAAAAAAGAATCCTTGCATTTATAATCATGTTATTTTTTTGTATGTTATTACATTGTGTGGATTTCTGTGTAAATTAAAAATGCGACCTGATCTTCAGTCGTAAAAGTACTTATACACATTTAACAACACACACACAAAATAATTTAACATTGTGCTTTGCCTTGTTTACATATGCAAAATAAAGGGTTATAACACATAGTTCCCAACCACAGTTGTGGCATACTGCTGTCCTGCACAGTCTTTTCCTGTTCTTATTCTACGTCAACGCAGGAAGGGTTTGTTCATGAGCTTATTAGTTGTATTAAGTGTCTAAGAGCAGAAGAAACACACCATATATTTTATGCAATTAGGTGTTTTATAAATCTCTCTTTTTAAAATTACATCACGTTTTATATTACAGGTCATGCCATTGTGTACATGCTGGGGGCAGTGGGTCTCAGTTTTGTGAATTCCATTGCACTGGCAGTAGAACTGATTCTGAAAGCACGTGAGTGAGATCAACAGTGTTTACCAGCAATGATTATCATTTTATTACACAACCAGTGTATTTTCATATCACATGAAGATTACAGAATGTGCGCATAACAGGAATGCGGTCTATATAGGTTTTCTATGATCTTGTTGCAAGATACTGCTTAATTGTACAAGTGACATTAAATTAGATAAAGATTATTGTAACACTCGGACAGGGTAGTGAGATGCAAATGCAGAGAATCTTTAATAAACAGAATCCACAGAGCAAAAATCAGAGTTGAGACAGGCAAAGGGTCAAAAAAACAGAGAATACCAAAACACAGGATCACAGCTCAATAAAGTCACATGAGAGTGGCAATACCTCGCAAGGAGGCAGAGTGAGAGTCCTGGTTATAAAGGGAGGCTGATGAGCAGATTGTAGGCAGGTGCGTGAGTGTGGGAGGAGTCAGTTCTCAATACTCCGGAGAAGCTGATCTCTGAATGAAGGAACGACCAGTGGGTGTGACAATTATCCCTCACTATAAACCTCAATTCCAAAACGTTTGAACAGTGTGTGAAATACTAATAAAAACAGAAAGCAGTGATGTTGAAATAAGCATGTACCTGAACAAAAGTGTCTAGAAGGCAGCATATGTTGCTCCAAAATGTTTTGTTATTTGCGCATGCCACCAGCACTAATATACCCCCAGACCTTAACAGCAACTTTTGAACTGTTGAACTTTACATTGCTAATAATCTGGATGGTTCTTTTTTTTTGGCCCGGACAACATGACATCCATTATTTACTCATCAGACCTACATGTTTCTACTGTGCATCAGTCCATTTCAGATAAGCTTTAGCTCAGAGAAGCCAGCAGCATTTCTGGACATTGTTCATGTGGTTTCCATTGTGGATAGTACAGTCTTAACTTGCATTTGTGGACACAGCAACAACACATGTAGTGACCTCCATCACAGAAGCATGTTGGTTTTTAATGCATTGCATTCAGTTGTGGTTTTCAGCCTTGCCCTATGCACAGAGATTTTTCCAGTTTCCCTGAATCTTTTAATAATATTATGCAACACAGAGGGTGAAATACCTAAAGTCCTTGAAGAAGTAAAACATTAAATATTCTTTCTTTGCACTGTTTTTGTCAGGTAGAAGTGGATTTACAAGTCACTTCCTTCTGTTTTTACTTGCATTTTACAGACTGTAAAATTACCCCAGTAACTTTAAGTGGAAGAATTATTCATTAATTTCAATAGCAGCATTATTATAAAGTTATTGTAATGTTTGCAAGCAAAGATTTGTGTTTTCCTGATTTAAAAAAAGAATCATTCCTTTTGTCCATTAGGAAATGGTGAGCGTACAGTGGAAGACCTGCGAGTTATTCTCATACCCTCTGAAAGTGTCTTTGCTATAGGCTGTCTTATGCTACAGATATCTGCATTCTGTAAGTATAATCTACAAATATGACATAGTCTGTGATCATATGTTCACCAAAAGTTTAACTTTGCAGCTAATTTTGCTCTTAAATCCCCAAATTTCCTGTATGCCCTGACGTATACCTCATGAGTCCAAATTGATATTAAAATGGTTTTCTGTAGTTTGTAGACTTTATGCAAGCGTTGTGTTTGAGAATGCATTGATACCATTTTTTTAGACTGAGTGTAAATTCATATTTTTAGTACTTGCCAATGCCGAGTCTGATACCATACTGAGTAGCCTACTCAAAACGAAGTAGTTATTAGTGTAAATGAGTGCAATGTATCTTACCAGTTAAATTGTAAAATTTAGCTGATTTTAAATAACGTGCATTCACTAGCTATGCTACATTAGTTACCCTGGATTGAGTAGAGTGGTAGTTGAGAAGAGCAGGTTTTGTTCTTTATCAGAAAAGTGCTTCTGTACAACTGTAAGTAAAGTATGTTTCATAGTTTTGATCCTCATCTGTCTCCTTTAACAACAGTCTCTGTAACACAGTGACAACAGGAATCACATTTGAGGTTGACATTGAAATAGACCATCGTGTATGGACAAGGCCTACGTTTTATATGCTCACACTGTACAAAAAAGCTCAGTCTTACTGACATGCTATGTGAAGTGCCGCCCCTACAGAGAGCTCTGTCTTTAGACAATTATCAGTGAAGCTGTTTCATTCAAAATAACGACCTGCACACTCGAGTACTGACCAAACGTGTGAAGGAACAGCGGCTTTGCTAACACTGCACTGAAGCTGAAAGCAGGCAGTTATGTACGTGATAGAACAATACAGCCTATTTTATAATGACAGTTTTAAAAATCAACATTTTAATGTTTATACCTAACAAATATATTCAGTCAAACAGAGTAAAGTCGGTATATACAGACTTTGGTAGCAAATGTCAAGTTATTAGCCTCCTAAAATTAAGTCAAACGGTATCAGATGTTGGTATCTGTGAATTTTTATGATGATGAGTATGAGTAAATAAGTATCCAGTCGATACTCAATACCAGTATCGGTATCGATGCATCCCTAATTGTGTTTTGCTGGTTGTTGCACCTTCTTGTTCCCAGATTTGAAGGCTGAGTCAGAAGCTTTCAACAGGGAGTGCAAGGAACCAGGGTTATACAAAAAACCCACCTGTTCTCCACCAGTTAGCTCCAAGCCATCATGCTTGGGAACATATAAAATAACACATTGAAGTCTAAAATAAGCTAAATTCACCATCGTCACTGTTAGAACAAAACCTCAAAATTGTAACTAGTATTTTTATCAATATGGAATTAATGCTGTATAGATACTGTAATGTTTTTTGAGAGTTTGCTGGCTGTTCATTTTCCTTTGAAAACATTCCAGTTTTTTCCAGCGATTGGTTTTATAAAAAAAAATTATAAGCAAATTTTAGATTGCTCATTTGTGTAAAAGACTTGATGATGTAACGATTTAGATATTAGAACAGTGATGTGATTGAACAGAACAAAAAACTGTAAACTTATGCCAGAAACAATGTAAACGAAGTCGAGAAGGCTGAAATTTCTGCAGAACAGTACGACAGATCCTCAGCTAGGATACAACAAAATTTATTAACACAACACTATATTTTATAGGCTATGTATTTACTGATGAACGGTTTCTAAAGTAAATAACTGTCTTTGTCTCTGTCCTTCTGCTGCAGGGTGGACAAACAGAGAAAGGTAAGTTTATATTATAGAGGAATAAATACTTAACACAAGATTCACTCCTTATCACTTTTATTCACAAAATATATTCATTAATTATTTTTGCTCTGACTATAACAGGTTGATGTATGACCTGAAAGACTTGCGTCAGTTGTGCAGGTGTAAACAGGTGTCAGCGGTGAGTGTATCATTTTTGCACATTAAAAGTGCAATAAATACAAATGTCCATTTACAAATTTAATTGTAGAAAATACATGGACCCCAATTTTATTATACTTAATGGGAAAATTTGGGAAGATCTTCTTTCTGTTCTGTTATATTCACACAAATTTTTGACTAGTGCTGTCTCAGCAATCCTCATAGAGCCAAAAATATGAAACTGCCAAGGAAAAATGCAAAAATGCTACTTATTACTTTTTTTAAGATTTGATTTGTTGCAACCACTACAACTCAGTAAACGTTTCTTTGCGAATATTAGTGCAGTATGATATAAGATCACATAATAGAATTGTCTTCGATTGTAGTGTCAGCTTAGAAATGTCATCTTACCTTAAATGCAGGACTCACCGGTACAGAATCATGAACTTCAGGCTCTACAGAACTCCAGAGGCTGATTCTGCTCCTCAGGAATTGGCGTCTTAGGAGGTAAGATGTAGCTCACATTCTTGTGTAAGAAGTAGAAAGTTAAAAAGGATTTCAGACATCTGAAGTTGAACACTGACCGTCCGCAGAGTTCTTAGAAACTCTCGCCTCCCTTACTTATTGTTGCTACATCTGTCAAACTGTCAGTACAGGCTACATCTTAGCATCCATAGCACATACATTTTAAAACATATAGTGAATATTTTATTATTCAAAAATAAACTGGCTTTACAAGATGTTCAGTGCAGATACACATGTTTGAGAACTGACAAAACGTGCATGTATGCCAATGTAAGGCAAACAAAAAAATATTCTTTAAATCTTTAAACCATGTTTACATTCATCAAAGCAGGGAAGTCTTTAGCCACTCGATGTTAAAGCAGCAGATTTTCACGTCAGGTAATGAGGAGGTTTTAGCGATGGAAGCTGCTCCTTCGGATGAGCTAGTTTTGAAGTTAATGCTGGAGTTCATCAGAGCAATATCAGGTGCACACATTAACCCTTATTTATAAAAGTTGTGTACAATCAAATCTGATTGTAAAATTAGCTCACACAGACTTCCAACAGTTTTGTTATTCATCAATTTCATCTTTGGAGAATCTGTACAATCAAGCGTACCAGTTCAGCAAAAAAAAATGCCTGATTTGCAGTTAACCAACCAAAGCTATTATCAGTAACATCTGTAATACCACTAGTAAGAATAAAAAAACAGAAAATAATCATTTTTTATTTATTTAAACAAATTGATATCTGGTTTTCTCTGGAGTAAATAAAACCCCCGAATATGCAAAAATGCACTACAACGACATCGTCAGCATGGTGGACTGTCCTTGCCAAATTTTCAATATTATTATTGGGCCTCTAATATTAGGGCTTTACTGTACTGGATTAATATTCCTAATGATCAGATTATTCCCAAGTGGTTATCAATGGAAAGTGCATCCTGTAGCCATACCTCACTGCATGCGCTACTCTGCTCAAGGAAGCCTTCTATTTTCTATTTACAGCCCAATAGAGAAATTTCCCTCTGTTGCCAATAGTGCCTTCAAATGATGGGTTGAGAAAGGAATCACAATAATTAAAGACCTGATTGTTGAGGATACCTTTATATCTTTTGAACAACATTAGAACACATTTTAATATTCCTCAATCACATTTTTTTAGATACCTACAGCTTCGTAGTTTTATATCATGAAGCTATTCGCAATTTCCATCATTACCACCTCACTCCTTTTTAGATACTATATTGAAAACCAGCCCACAGTCTAAGAAATGCCTCGGTGTGATGTACTCTCTGCTTAATTCATATAATTTGAAGCCTCTAACTTTATTGAAACAACAGCGGGAGGAGGAACTTGACACGCAGATATCAAGGGAGATGTGGCAAGATATTTTGGATGGAATACACTCCTCTTCAATTTGTTTAAGGCACACCATCATTCAGTTTAAAATAGTCCATCGTCTACATTGGTCCAAGGATAGGCTGGCTAAATTTACTCCGAATGTTGATCCTATATGTGACAGGTGTAAAATAGAACCAGCCACTCTCTCTCATATGTTTTGGTCCTGTCCAAAATGAATTATATTCTGGCAGTCAATATTTGCTTTTCTCTCAAGTGTATTTAAGAGATCACTGACACCATCTCCTATTACTTCAATATTTGGAGTGACTTTACAGGAGTCTTGCATAGATAACTCTGCCAAAAGGGCGATTGCTTTTGCCACTCTCTTAGCCAGGCGGCTTATCCTACTGAAATGGAAGGATGAGTTCCCACCCACCTTTAAATACTAGTGCAGTGGCGCAGCGTTATTGGGAGGGTTTTTGTCTGTTCTCTCATTTTTCTTTTTTTTTTTATATTTTTATTTTTTTATTGTCTAAAAAACAATAAAACCACCTTGGTTAAAAAATAAATAAATAAATAACAATAATCCTAATCATTTGTACATAGTGTGTGTCTGGCACTACACGTTCCTCAGTAACACCTTTCCACCATCTCTTAATATAATCGTTCAGAATAATGTCGTTCTAGCTGCAAGTTTGTTTTGGGCAACTCTGTCAGAGCTTGTCCTTTGATTGACAGAGGATGATTGGGATTGGCTAAGAGGCCTGTCATTCCTCATTTTGTCCTTCATAAAATGGTCAGTTGTTTAAACACAGCACAGTTAACTCAAGCACGCTAAAACACTTTCTCCATTCTGTAAAACAACATTGCATTGAGTTTCTCTGTGTGTCTAAGTTAAAAAGGCAGTAAAAAGATTTTTGTGTTTTTTTTTTTAACAGGTATTGAGGAATTATTGCTTCTTGTATGCAGACCACGTACATGATGACATGTAGGTTTGGAGCCATCTGAGGGACACAGATTAATGTCTGCTCAAAGAAACTTTGTATTTGATACATACAGAAAATCCCAGCAGGCACTGGGCCAACCAAAGACACAGAAGCAATTTCTTCTTGGACATGATTTCTTCTAGTGACATGGAAGAAAATATGAACAGTTGCATTCAGAGCATTTTTGGTCTGAACTGTAAACTTTCCATTCTGCTACCATGCTGGTGCCACTGCTGTGTTGAGAATCATTCACCACCTGACCTGTGGTCAGAAACTGACCCAGTGCTCCGTGCTGTCACCAAGGGGGTAGAAAAATAGTGCACATGTGAAATCTATTTTGGTACGCTTTCTGTACGATAAATTTGCACATATTCATCACTGTAAAATGTATAGTTATTATATAGCAATGTTTAATGCAGAAACCTTTAATTTGCTTTATAAGAAGGCTTTGTTACAAAAATGCTAATTTCCACTGGTCCCCCTTTGGAATTTGCAAGTAATATTGAATGTTTACATTTGATGGCAGCTGTGTCTTAGCTGGTGAACTGAGGCTAGTAACATAAATTGACTTTGTCAATTTGCCAGCAGCACTGCTGTGTCTGATCCACTTGTAACAATACAACACACCACCACCACGTCAGTGTTACTGCAGTGCTGAGAATGATCCACCACCCAAATAGCACCCACTCTGTGAGGGTCCATGGGGGTCCTGACCACTGAAGAACAGGGTAAAAGGGGGCTAACAAAGTATGCAGAGAAACAGATGGACTACAGTCTGTAAAGTGCACCTATACTGTAAGTGAAGCTGATAAAATAGACAGAGAGTGTAGAAACAAGCAGGTGGTTTTAATGAGGGGGCTGTTTGGTGTATATGCGGTCTGTAAAAATGCTATGATATACTGTAGTATTGGTGGGATAACTGTGTTTGTACTAAGCTGGTATGTTTAGACAGATGTAAATAGAGCTGTGCTTTAATAATCTGTATTTCCCTCATTTGTAACAGGTCATTTGTGTTACCAATTTTGTTTGTCTTTCAGTAGAGTAACTCGTTATTTAATGGATATGTAGTTATGTGTTTGCAAGAAAGCTGATTATTCTGAGCTGCCAGTAAAGTTAGAATTTTCTAATTTTATATCTGATTTCTTGTTACCTGTTGGCTTTGAGCAGCCTGGGAAACCCTGTGGTCTTCTACACCAAGAATTTGACTTGCTTTAATTAATATACTGAAAAAAAAAATTGAATTAATAAAAAGACCACATAACTTACATGTTTATTTGGTATTGTTACGTTTCAAGCGAGTTGATGCTCTCAAAGCATGCCACTCCACCTGCTAGAATCGAATGTATTTGCTTTGTTATATAAAATCGAAATAAATACAAACACGTCACTATTGTCTGAACAAAACCTTGTTTCATGCATTTTTATCGTTTTTCAGTTGACACAATTTGACAATGCCTGTTGTCCTTTGTATTGTGTGTAAATTTCTTGATGAATGGACCAAAAGAAACGGCCCAAAAGTACTTGGAAAAACATTTGGTTCCATTGACTTAAATTAAAATATATATATATTCAATTTCATCAGCAGCACCTGATTTAATTTAATGAAGGACAAATGAAGGAAAATAGTTTAGCTAACACACATCAAACCACAATGGATTTTTTATCTGTTCATTTGTTTTTATTCTAATGTCAGTGTTTCTGGAACACAAACACCTACTGGCTAGGTAAATAACTTTACTTATCATTTTCTAAGATCCCTTTTATTGTTTGTTTAGATTAAGAAGTGATTCTAGACTTAAAATGTAGATCACGCGATATTAAACAGCCTATTTAGTATCATACCCATCTATAGAGTATGACACTAGCATCATCAGCTCAGCCTCCTAAACATTCCAGTGTAAGTAATAATCAATACCATATGTTATTTTAAACACTTTAAACACTTCACACATGAAGTTAAAGAAAGAATGTTTCCACATGATTGAAGCTGTTCTGCTAGTTTCTGTTTGTTAAAAAAGTTGTAAAATAGTTAAGCTAGGAAGCAGAACCTGGACTACTAGAGAGACTCCCCTTCTCCTGAACGACTGCCAGTTCACCAATGACCTGCATGAGGTCCACAGCAGATTTGAATACACCAAGGACAATCTGAGTCTGTCTACAGAGAGGACGTCGAGCAGCTGGTCTCCTGGGGCAGCAGCAACTACCTGCTGATTAACACCAAAGACTGTAAAGATAATGGTGGACATCAGGCGCAATGATCCCTCCCTACCCCCCCTCAACATCAATGGTTCTGTGGTTTCCACTGTGGTGTCAAATTTCTGGGCACCACCACGGAGGTCAAGCAGCTGGTCTCCTGGGGCAGCAGCAACTACCTGCTGATTAACACCGAAGACTGTAAAGATAATGGTGGACATCAGGCACAATGATCCCTCCCTACCCCCCCTCAACATCAGCGGCTCTGTGGTTTCCACTGTGGAGTCAAATTTCTGGGCACCACCATATCCAGGGACCTGAAGTGGGAGAGGAACACGCTTTCCTAGCCAAGAGAGCACAGCAGAGAATGTTCTTCCTGAGACAGCTGAAGGAATTCGACCTGCTGCAGGGCCTGATGATCCAATTTTACACAGCGATCATCGAGTCCATCCTCACATCATCCATAACCATCTGGTTTGGTTCCTCCACCTCACGAGAACGTGCCAAACTCCAGCACATAATCAGGACAGCGGAGAGGATCATTGGGTGTAGTCGGCCAACGCTTCAGGACATCTACAATGGCAGAGTGACGGAGCACGCTGGCAAAATAACATCTGACCCCTCTCATCCTGGACATCACCTCCTAAAGCCACTTCCCTCTGCTGGAAGATTAAAGGCCATCTAAACCAGAACAACCAGACATGCTAACAGCTTTTTCCCCATAGCTGTAGCGCACATTAACCACAGTGGACACCTTGAACTTTAAACTTAAACTAAACCATCAAACCTCCTTACTGTATTACAGCAAATTCTCTGTAACATAATCCTGATTTGCACAGCTGTACACATGTTAATTTTTACAATGTTGTTAGCCAACAATCTTCAATCAGCATTGGATCATGTTCTTTCCAAAAACAAAAACTGTAGTTGATTATATTTTTATTTGAAAAATAAATATATGTATATATGTCTATACATTTGTACATGTATGTATATAAATATTTGTATATACATATTTTTATTAAAAGTTAATGAGATTAATGAGATTACATATGCATTATTCAGCTTCCTAACAGTAATGCTATCTGGATTCCTTCTGCATTAGCCAGCTATCAAAAAGAAAAAAAGAAAACAAACAAACAAACACATTTCAAAGTTTGCCCTCAAGTTCCTCCTACAAAACGGGTTTTTCTAGTCTTTAAACTAATAAATTTCACTCTTGAGACTACCACAATATATTGTTTGGGAATTCTAATTGCTATATTGACCTTTGCTATACTAAGATTACAGACTGCTATGCTGCAAATATCAGATGATCAAGATGTGCATTCTGTGGATGGCTTTTGATGAATTAAGGCATTCTTGTTGATTAAACAACAGTTATGGTGCTAAATGCAGTCCTGAACTACTACACATCACCAGTGGTATGTCAGTATTTGGCTGTATCACACAGCCTTAATAAAAAGTCCTCTACTACTTTATATATTTAAGTTATATTTATATAACTGCACTTTTATGTACTACAACAGTGTAGTGTTGCCAGATTGCACAATTTTCAACTGACCCTGACTGAGTCACCATAATGTTTAAAAAAAGTATAACATTATGGACTGCACTGCTCAATAATGCAGCTGAAATTGGAACAGGCCTAATGTCTCTCTACACCCAGTCAAAACATTAATAGACATACATTTTATTCACTCCTGTTTTTTATTCCTGTATTTATGTGTTCCTCAAAATCGCTGCTGTCGGGACAAAACTTTGCATCTCCATTTTTGTCGTTTTTCAGTTTTGGACATAATTTGAAAATGCCTGTTGTTCTTTACATTGTGTATAAATTTCATGATGAATGGACCAAAAGAAACGGCCCAAAACAACTTGGAAAAAAGTCTGGTTCTATTGACTTATATTAAAAGTAAAGTATGTTTTTTACTTTTCCTGTAAAGTTACCATTTTGGAGATACGAGGTTTTGTTCCAACAACAGCGATATATTAATTTGCTGTTGCTGTGATTGGTCTACATTTTTGATTGGTCTGTATTTTTAGTAACTGGACTATAATCCGCCCTTACTGGAGCTGCCTGACCAATTCATGTTGATATACTTTATCCATTTGGAAACTATAAACACATTTAAATCAAGTACATCCTCTGTTCCCTCCAGTGTATCTCTGTACAGCCATATTGTCTGATATTGATCAGCCAATGGGATTAAGAAGGCAGCCCCTTCATTACCATGAGGACAAGGAAAACGAAAAAAATAAATGGGTAATTAAATAAAACAGAGATAAACAAAGAAAGAACTAAAATAAACTAATTGTAAATCAAGAAACACTCATTGTTGGGTTTTACACATTTATTTATTTCATTTCTTTGCACTGTTTTAGGTTTATATTCGTTAAAAAGGTCATTATAGTATTTTTATATTGGTAGATCTGAACCTCTGCCACTGAGTAGTGATGCACGATCCGAGTCTTCCAGAGTCAAATCTCGACTCCTGCCCCTGGAGTCGACTCATCGACTCCACTTCATTTTGATAAAGAGATTCAGAAGAGATTAAACCAGCCTAAATGTAGTTTACCCAGTTTTCTAAGTAGGTATAGACTACAGTGACGGGATGAAAAGTAGTAGATTACACCGCGTATTTTAGATTTAGGATTATAAGCAAATCCTTTGCATTTTGATGGTTGGTAACGCTGTGGTTCCCTCGTCCAAACTTCACTGATACCGCGACCAGAACAGTAATAATGACGGTAAAAGCAGCACAGAAAACTAAATTACTGAAACATCCAAAAAGCAGCTCTGCTGTTTAACTGAAGCGTTTAAAATGCAGCGGAGTTTCCAGTCAAATCAGTGAAATCGATTCAGTACCGAATCAGTTCTGCGAGAGCTTTAGTGCTGAATTCCTGTTGGTGATTGGCTCGTTAAAGTTCGGTGGCTGTTACGCGATTGGCTCGAGTCACTACGTGATTGACAGCCGCCCTCTTTGTCCCGCCCACCGCTAAAGTCTGAGAAGTGAAAGTAAAAAGTTCGTCTAACAGGACCGTGTTTTTCCCAGATATGAAGACGGGATTAACCATTTTCCTTTTTCTGTACGGAGTTCTGTTCATCTGTGACGGTAAGAAATTATTTAAACACTGTTCGTTTTCGTTCATATTTACTGCAGAGCTCCTTCTCTGTGAACCGAGTCTGACGCCCTGAAAAAGAAAACAGCGCTGATTTACTTGGTTCAAATGTGTTCAACGGTTTCTCATCAATAAGATACGTTACACCCACACAAGCTTTATTTCAGCTTACTGAAAGGTTGTTTTGGGCAAGAATTTAGTTAGTGTGATATATTTTAATCCATGTGGAACCGATATAAACATCAGAACCAAGTCAGAGCTTTTTTCAGTGTGTGGGATTCAGGATGAACAACAGGAAGGTGCCTCCACCTCCCTGAGAAACCACTAATGGTGTATAACTGTATTCGAGTAGTTGAAGAGGAAATGGGATTTAACTGCAAAACGCACATTTTCAGTCGAAACTGCAATTAAAACATTCAGTAACATTCACGTTCAGTACATTTTGACTAGTATTTGTATAAAGGTCATAGGCCAGTTTTAGGCTTTAGCCCCCTCTAAGCATTATTTAGCCCCTCTTCTCAAATAAATATACGTTACTGGTTCAAATCATTTATAGTGTTTTATGCACAGTAAACTGTAATAGCAGGGCGTGACGTGTGGGAGGCGCTGTTGCTACTATAATGCAGTTCTACCTCTGCTGTACTACCAGTGACTGACTAACGGAAAGTGAAATGGAGAAACCCCGGGGTCAACCAATAATATGAGAACTCGTAAGTTGTAAGCCACTCATATCAGAGCTCATAAGTTGTGAGCCAATCATATCAGACCTGGGGGAGGGTCTCTGGTGTTACTTGATCGGCAAAGTAACGTCAGTTGGCAACTGCTGAAGCTAAAGAGAGGATTTTGGCTAAAAGCTCACTGAAATAAACGTTAGATGGAATCTGTAATATACAGAGTGAATCAGTAAGTAGTTACAGAGTGAAGATACCTACCTTCAAAATGGATTTGTGGCAAATTATGGTCAGTAAAGCTGTTTTAACTCGGTTGCTAGTTAGCTAGCTAGCTAGGTAAGCTAACTTTGGGTTTACCGAGGCAAAGAGAAGAGCTTAGGCAAGCACTGCGTCCCAATTGCGCGCTTAATACTAACACTAACTAGTGTTTGAGTATGTAGTATGCAGTATAGTCACAAGTGTCAAAGTTGAGTATACTCAAAAATCCACAATGCAGACTTAGAACCCGTCGATTTTTGAGTATAGTAATGACGGACACTATTGTCCCACAAGCCAATGGGAAACGGAAAGGGAGGAGCTTCTCGCGTCTGGAAAATTCTGAAAAAATGGCGGATGGCGACACGAGAGCAGCTGTGGTGGTAGCGGGACCAGAAATGGTGTATAAATGTGAGTTCATCCCAAATGTGTAAAATATTCTGTAAAAAAACAAAAGTGTTTTCATTTGTTAGCGTTTCTGTAAGAAACTTGTTTGTGAACACTTTAATTTGTTAGCTAGCCTTCAGAGTCGAGCTTGCTATGATGTGCGTTGTCATAGCAACAGTTCGTCACTTCCTGTTAGTAGGAATGGTGTAGTATGTTAATATTTTGTGTACTAACCTGTCGAGCTCACACTGTTAAGATTAGTACTCAGTATGTACTGTATTGTATTAGTGTGTAGTACACAATTGGGATGCAGCCTAACACTAACATTAGCTAGCTGACTAGCCAGCTATTTAACTCACTTCATGAACGAGCAGAAGAGATAGAAATAATGTTTTGACAGCTTTTTTATATCCTTTGTTTTTATGTATTTTTGGAAACATTATTTTTATTGCAGTATTTGCCATATATTGTGGTTTACAGTAAGTTAATGTCAGTGAAAATGTCATATACTGTTCCTTCATAGCGCAATTTTAAATATCCCTCAATTCATTAACCTATGGATGGATATTAAGAGGCAGCAGCTCTTTCGAAGACCAGTCTGATGTGAAGAAATTTACCAGTTAAAAAAAGTTTGAATTGATTGATCTCTCGTTTCCTTGAGTTCTTGTAAAGTCAGCTAAAGGAGAATGACAGGACAGAAGGAGCAGATCCGATGGAGGTTAGTGATCAAGAAAAAAATAAGGACGATTTGTTTGTGCTTTCAGTTAAAAATATTACTGAGTTTGTTTAAACTGAGCAGATATAACATTTGTCACTGTGACCATGAAATTCTGTCACCTGGCTTATTAAACATGCCTACAGAGCAAAATCACGCTCTTTCTGATTGCACTTACTGAGACTGAACTGATCTATAATCTGTGTGCTTGAATGGGCTGTGCAGTTTATCTAAGAGAGGAGATAGCACTGATCGACTTCAGTACCTTTGCTTGGTATGTGACTGTTGTATGTGGACACATACGGTGTTTAAGTCACACTAGCGATGTGCTTAATGCAACCTACAAAGAGACAGATTGACTGTGTGCCAATTTGACCAAACAGCCATTTTTTGATAGTTATTCTGGCAGTTCCTGCTCTAAAAGCTGATGATGAACAGACGTTTTGGGGCCATTCAGAAAAATTCCCCTGGTGCTCCATGCCCCCTGATCCCCCAGTACAGGTTTTGTCTTCTCTGTCCATAACCCTCCAGTGATGCCCCTTTTAAGTGTAGAGGACTGGAGTGCGTTTTATAGTTCCAGTGCTTTTTCATCCATTTGAAGAAAACATAAAACAAAGAGTGAAATATGTCCGATGCAGATTTTGCATTACAAATACAAAGAACATGCTATATAATCGTAGGAGGCCCAGGCGATAGGGCAGTGTAATCTGATATCATGGATGACTGACGATAACGTGGATGATTAATCTGATGGTGATGCTTAAAAATTGCCATGTTATGAAACTGACAGGAACCTGGAGAGGACTAACTTACCATTAAACAGCTAACAAATTATGTTGGGAAACTGGGGTTCACGTTCCTTTAATAAATGAGTGCCCTTTAGTTTCTATTGTTTGTTCATGAGAGAGAGAGAGAGAGATTAAGAAACTGCCTGTTTGTTCTTTCTGCTCAATTTCTGCCCAATAATGAACATTTCTGCCCAATAATGAACGTTTATAATGTGGTGCACTACAGCTGCTGCAATATGAAACAAACTGAACCAGATAAAGTTTAAAAGGTCATTTATATTGTTAACTTATTCAGTCAAACGAAATCATATTAACAACTACAAATAAAATAAATCAATAAATAAAATTAAATAACTTGCATCAGAGGAAGACACATGTATCTGGAAACCACACAGACGAATCCAAAGCTGACATTTTTGAAATGTATAATTTTTTAAAATCTTTAGCATTTTAAAGATTTTTGACATCTAGTTGCGCCCCTTTTTGTACTATGGCAAACAGCTTTAGTTGTGTACTGGCTACTATACTGTTAAATACTGACAAAGAGTAGCATACAGTATACAGCAAAGTGCAGTATTTAGAGTGTTGTATAGCAGCATTTAGTGCGTAGTATAGCAGAATTTAGTGTGTATAGTGCAGTATTTAGTGTGTAGTATAGTGCAGTGTGTAGTATAGTGCAGTATTTAGTGTGTAGTATAGTGCAGTATTTAGTGTGTAGTATAGTGCAGTATTTAGTGTGTAGTGCAGTATTTAGTGTGTAGTATAGTGCCATATTTAGTGTGTAGTATAGTGCAGTATTTAGTGTGTAGTATGGTGCAGTATTTAGTGTGTAGTATAGTGCAGTATTTAGTGTGTAGTGCAATATTTAGTGTGTAGTATAGTGCAGTATTTAGTGGGTAGTATAGTGCAGTATTTAGTGTGTAGTATGGTGCAGTATTTAGTGTGTAGTATAGTGCCGTATTTAGTGTGTAGTATAGTGCGGTATTTAGTGTGTAGTATAGTGCAGTATTTAGTGGGTAGTGCAATATTTAGTGTGTAGTATAGTGCAGTATTTAGTGTGTAGTGCAGTATTTAGTGTGTAGTATAGTGCAGTATTTAGTGTGTAGTGCAATATTTAGTGTGTAGTATAGTGCAGTATTTAGTGTGTAGTGCAGTATTTAGTGTGTAGTATAGTGCCGTATTTAGTGTGTAGTATAGTGCAGTATTTAGTGTGTAGTATAGTGCAGTATTTAGTGTGTAGTGCAGTATTTAGTGTGTAGTGCAGTATTTAGTGTGTAGTATAGTGCAGTATTTAGTGTGTAGTGCAATATTTAGTGTGTAGTATAGTGCAGTATTTAGTGTGTAGTATAGTGCAGTATTTAGTGGGTAGTATAGCAGTATTTAGTGTGTAGTATAGTGCAGTATTTAGTGTGTAGTATAGTGCAGTATTTAGTGTGTAGTGCAGTATTTAGTGTGTAGTATGGGGCAGTATTTAGTGTGTAGTATGGGGCAGTATTTAGTGTGTAGTATGGGGCAGTATTTAGTGTGTAGTATAGTGCAGTATTTAGTGTGTAGTATGGTGCAGTATTTAGTGTGTAGTATGGGGCAGTATTTAGTGTGTAGTATGGGGCAGTATTTAGTGTGTAGTATAGTGCAGTATTTAGTGTGTAGTATGGTGCAGTATTTAGTGTGTAGTATGGGGCAGTATTTAGTGTGTAGTATAGTGCAGTATTTAGTGGGTAGTATAGCAGTATTTAGTGTGTAGTATAGTGCAGTATTTAGTGTGTAGTATAGTGCAGTATTTAGTGTGTAGTATGGGGCAGTATTTAGTGTGTAGTATAGTGCAGTATTTAGTGTGTAGTATGGTGCAGTATTTAGTGGGTAGTATAGCAGTATTTAGTGTGTAGTATAGTGCAGTATTTAGTGTGTAGTATAGTGCAGTATTTAGTGGGTAGTATAGCAGTATTTAGTGTGTAGTATAGTGCAGTATTTAGTGTGTAGTATAGTGCCGTATTTAGTGTGTAGTATAGTGCAGTATTTAGTGTGTAGTATGGGGCAGTATTTAGTGTGTAGTATAGTGCAGTATTTAGTGTGTAGTATGGTGCAGTATTTAGTGTGTAGTATGGGGCAGTATTTAGTGTGTAGTATGGGGCAGTATTTAGTGTGTAGTATGGTGCAGTATTTAGTGTGTAGTATGGGGCAGTATTTAGTGTGTAGTATGGGGCAGTATTTAGTGTGTAGTATAGTGCAGTATTTAGTGTGTAGTATGGTGCAGTATTTAGTGTGTAGTATGGGGCAGTATTTAGTGTGTAGTATGGGGCAGTATTTAGTGTGTAGTATGGGGCAGTATTTAGTGTGTAATATAGTGCAGTATTTAGTGTGTAGTATGGTGCAGTATTTAGTGTGTAGTATGGGGCAGTATTTAGTGTGTAGTATAGTGCAGTATTTAGTGTGTAGTATGGTGCAGTATTTAGTGGGTAGTATGGTGCAGTATTTAGTGTGTAGTATAGTGCAGTATTTAGTGGGTAGTATAGCAGTATGCCATTTCAAATGTACCCAGTGTCTCAAAAACCTAAACTCTTCAAATAATAACTCTGCATTTTAGCAAATAAACTAGTTGTGAACACAGCCTTATATTGTTTGGACCCTTAGGGAATATAATTTAGCTGCAGAGTGCCCTTTTTCTGACAGTTTATGTTGTGAAAAATATTACACTTTTACTATGTTTGCTCTTCTTTCAGGGCTCCATGTAATAGGACCCTCTGGCCCTCTGATTGTGAAGCTGGGGGGCTCAGTGATGCTGCCCTGTTATGTTGAAGCCACCATATCACTGGAAGAGCTGGAAGTGGAGTGGAAGAGAACAGACTCTGAAACCTTAGTACATTTATTCCAAGATGGAGAAAGTCGACCAGAGGCTCAGAACCAGAATTACAGTGGAAGAGCCAGTTTCTTTACTGAGGAGGTCAAGCGTGGAAACTTCTCTCTCCTCCTCACAAATCTGACCACTGAAGATCTGGGAGTTTACAACTGTTCTGTTTACAGAGAACAGGAAACTGGTCAAACATTGGTTAAAATTGAGATTGGTGAGTGAAACAATTTAATAATGTTCTGTAGAAAATGATATTGACTGTAAAAGCCTAAACATGATGTTTTGTTCCGTGAAAAATAACGTATGAAAAATTCACGTTATACTAGTTAGGCACTGATAATGAAATTTTACAGCCAGTTCCAGTATTTTTACCAGCAAAATTTTTTGCAAAATTTTTTGCTTGCTTTTATTAGCCCAAAACTAACACCATGGTAGATATATAAAGAATCACACTAGCACAATTCTAGTACTTTTTATTAGCCAAAATTGCAATATGAATAATATTATTATTGCTTTAATAAGCCAAACTGTCATGTCACTGTCATAGTCTTGCATGTTTATGCTACATTTTGGTACAAGTGTAGCAGCAGCATTCAAGTACAACACACATACTTGGCACACATTTGAAAAACTAAAAACAGAGATCGAGCAAAATAAAAATAATAAATTGGCTGATTGTCGATTGAATGTTTGGCACAAAAAACAGTTGATCTTGGCCATTTCTGACTGTGCGTTCCTACTTTATATGAATTAGCAGAATCTATTTATGAAACAATTCTGTTTTAGAGATCCAGTGACTTGCCAGTTTATTAGGCACAAGCAAGTATATCTTGTGTACATTCATTGACCACCTAACATATAGGTTTACAGTTACTGACTGCAGCTGATTTATTTTGCTGCACAGTTTATCTGGCTGCATGTAACTGGCACAGTGTATGTGGTGTTTCTCACGAATTAGACATGACAGATGATCCATAGTTTTTAACTGCACACCAGCAGGGTACACCAGTAAGTAAAGGTATTTCTAATAAAAAGGCCAGTAAGGCTTACATACTGTGTAAAGACTCCAGCAACGCAACTTTACTCTTCAGCAACCCCCAATACACTCGTACCCACGCCACACACACTACCATCAGTGTCATTGCTGTTCTTAAACTGATCCATCACCCAAGTAATAAGGGAATCATCAGTACTTATGCTGGTATAAAACCATGCTCATTTAGTCATACTCATAAAAATTCACTGATACCAACATGCGATACCACCTGCTACCATGTGACGTAAGCCAAAAGTACACTGCCATGATAATGAACAAGCAGCTCAAGCTGGCAGCGAGCAACGTTCTTCTTGCACAGGGAAGTGTTGCTGATGCCGTTGCAGTCGGACACAAAGTGGTTGGTCACTTGAAGCATTCTGCTTTGGCATGTCCCCACCAGGAATACACTCCGTGATTGTAGCTTGCTTTTTAACACTAAATTGTGTATGTAAACTTTAGTCTGTTTGGCCGAATAGAATTGCAAGGTATAAATGTTAATAGGGTGTTTTTTTTAATTGCCTTTAGGCCATAGAGAGACCATATTCTCCTGCTCATGTACATCACTGCCACTTTTGCCACTTTTGTGTGGCAAAAGTTACTCAGTGTGTTAGCTCTGTACTCGGGTGCACAGAGCATTATTTTGAATGAAGCAGCGTTATTTGAAATTGTTCATAGAGCTTTTCAAATTAGACACTGAGGGGCTGCTATTCAACATAACTTCTGTATGGACTCTTTGAACAGTTTGACTGTTGTACAATGTCACCAGTCCAGTGTACAATGTCACCAGAGATTCTTAAATCACAGTGTATGTCTGCCTTTAGAGGACAATCACCTACAGCTCAACCAGTCAAACAAAAGATTCCAACAAGCCGTAAAAGTCCACAAGTGATCTCCCCGGAATAGCCTCAGATATGATTCCTGCTGTCGCCGTGCTACAGAGACTGTTATTGAAAGAGACAGGCAAGGAGCAAAACTATGAAACGTACAGAAGTGCTTTTCTGACATGGAATAAACCCTGATCTTATCCGCTAGGTTTGGGTGATGTCTATCTAACCTGACATGTGACAATGTCTACAGGGACGATGATATCGAGGGGGTAGTAGTGTTGGTCTTACAAAGGCACTATAAATACTTGACTCTCCTTAAAATACATATTTATTAAATTTTTGCTCGGAGCATGGAGCGGCTTTTCTCTCTTGTGCTGAAACCCCTCCAGTGTTGCTCCATCCCGCCAGCCACTGAGTACCTCTGCATGACATGAGTGGCGATATGGCCAAAAATTTTATCAGTAGATATTGATAAATATCACGATAAATGTCAAATCCTTATTTCTTTAAAGTTTGAAGGCTGATTTTTGCTCCTGAGTGGTTAATTGTCGTTTTAAACTGTCCTTTATTGTCAGAACATGACAAACACTCGCCAGACAGTAGAACATTTCACAGATCTGTCATGGGAGAGTGGGAGAAAGTTTCTGGTCAGCTGTTTTTACCAGCTGGAAAAGCACGGCCGCAATTTTTGTAGTAGTCATAATTTAAGAAAGAAAACAGATTATTTTTAGCTGTCTGGTGACGAGTGCTCGGCTATCCGGTTACAAGTGCTAAACTGTTTAGTTTCTCAACAACGTCATCTTAATATGAACAGCAAACATTAGCTGGCTCGGTAGGTCAGTGATGGATCACACCGCCTTACTGCCATCACTCCCACCACATCCATGTCAGAGCATATCACAGTATTTGAACACCAGCTAGCAGACGACTGGGTTTCTCTATTCTATCATAGTTTGAGGGGTGAACCACAATATATCTGATTCTTGCTGGGTAAAAGCATTAACTCCAGTGTGAATCTGTAACACTAGACAAACAGAGTCTTCCTTTTAGCTACGTTTAAACTGAAATCTGTTTTTAGTCTTGTTTGATCTACAGTAACATCAGTTCACCAAGCTGTGCGAGTGACAGAGTGCTGCTTCAAGTTAACCAGCTGCTAAAAACAGCTAGTCTAGGAAGCTAGCGTTCTCTCACTCTCCAATGCCACATACAGCATCGCATCCTCAGTTTACTTTCATTTAAATCAGTGCTGTAACTTGGATGAACCCACTTCTTTCATTTTTGTTGCTTGGGAAGCACTAATACTGACTGTAACACAGCGCTGTAGTTGTGTGGAGCAGACGTGGTTTACCGCTGCTAAAGCTTGTTAGGATGTCAGGAAAGAGGTGAGTTCGCTGTGGGACAGTACAGTTATGCCACTTATCTCCTCACTTACACTTGGTTACAAGAGAACAGATCACCGATCGCTGCACTCAAACAGGGAATATATAACTCCACGTTTCAGATGTTACACAAAATATATTTGGCAACTCATTTTATTCATTGCCCACTCCCTCTCTAATCATGTCGAAAAACTCGGACGTGCGCCCTCTCGTGGCGACAGCGTAATGTTGCTTTACTTGCAGTACAAAATGCCACCAGGACTGTCGCTAGAACGTGGAAGTGTGAGAATGCTCTATTATGTCGAACATTTGTCGAACATTTCTTATATTTCTATCGAGGAAAGTTATATCACGATAATTATCGTTATTGTTTTATCGCCTAGCCTTACCCACACACCACTGCTACTCATACAAAGTCTCTGCGCTCCGGAGCTGTTCATCAGACCTACATGCTTGAATTTCTCACGGATCACAGCAGAGTTCTACAGACATTACAGAGTCAGTCTTGTATCGTCCAACATCGTGGTGTCTGTCAGCTATCTAAGATGGACGGTGGTCTGTCAGTCCAACCCTATTCTTCACTTCAGTGCTACTCAATCCAGGGTAACTATTGTAGGATAGCTAGCTAATACATGTATTGTTTAAAATCTGTTAGATTTAAATAATTTAACTGTAAAGGTACACTGCACTCATTTACACCAACACTTACTTAATTCTGTGTACTCATTGTTACTTACTCGTTATGGTTTCGTAATGGCAAGTACCAAAAAACATGTACTTGTGCTCTACAAATATTAACCTTGTCATTGGTGATCTCTGTCCATTGATGGCTGAGGTAGGGAAGAGCAGAAAAATTGTTAATTAATAGATAAATTGTGCATCAATCCTTAATTGTAAACCTACCAAATGCACCTACATGGTAGATGTACTTGAAGGTACAAGATAGGAGTATCTAATAAACTAGTACACACTGCATATTTTCATTAGTATTTTTGATCTGAGGCTTTAAAATTTAATTCTAACTGTACTGTTTCAAATGATTGTTCTTTCAGAGCATTTGATTGTTACTGGAGGTCATGTCGTATCTGCATATGTTGGTGAGGATATCACTATGCATTGTTCTGTGGACTCCCATATCCCATCTGAAAAGCTTGAAGATGTCTCATGGAAGACAGTGGATCAACAGATTCCAGTGCTGTTCTTCGAAAAGGGTGAGGTCCGGACTGAATCAACCTCAGAGAAATACAGAGACAGAGTCGAGTTCTTCAGCCCTGAAGAAAGGCAGAAAGGAAACTTCTCTCTTAGATTAAAGGATCTCCGAACTGAGGACAAAGGCCATTACATATGTGAAGTGTCCTCTGGGGACTTTTCAGCTAACACAACTGTTAAAGTGCTGCAGCTGGGTAAGTCAGCATTTTTGTACACTTTGCAAAGTATGTAGTGGTGCAGGGTTGTTTCTAAACTAAATGTGTAGAATATTTTAATATTCCGAAGTTTTAAATTCAGAAAGTGTTGCGGGAAAGCACTTAATAATTATTATTATATTAGCATAGGGTTGTACAGCGGTACTTCCCGTCGTTAAACACCATAGGTGGGTAGAGTAACCTTTGATACTTGATACTTATTGATACTTGGGTAAAATAATGACACAAGTAAAAGAAAAAGTACCTTCCCAAAAACAACTTGAGTAGAGTAACTTCTTAGTAAATCCAGCATTTATCAGCACAGGAACTGAATTGGCTATTGATTGGCTAATGTAACATTACGTTAACATGTCATTTTATTCATACAGTTAAACTCGATTGCTAGCTACCGCGCTCTCATAAATGAAGTTAATCACTTATAGTAGGTGGCTAATGCAAGTAGGAAGCAGCGTTTAGCTGTGATACAAACAATGATGTAATAAACTTTCACAACAAGCTCTGTTAACAAATTTAGAAATGCTTATATAATGTACTTGCTGGGAGTTTTGTCTGTGAGGGAGAGGAACACAAGCAAAACATTGCTAACTCTGATTGGTACTTCACCTTTGCCAAATTTTGTCCCACTAAATCAAATCAAACTGAACAAAACAGCAGAAAAATTTTCAACATATCTCAACAGAAAAACCAACATCATTCTTTCTCTGCCAGGTCATAGTGAAAACATCACAAAAACCATAGATAATGGAAGACAACCATTAAAATGGGTAGACACGGGCTTTAAATATGATGTTGTGCCAGTAAAGAGATAATAAAAGATGTGGAGCACAGTGTTTAGCCTCTGACATTTTATCAGCAAGGAAAACCAGCGAGATGCAGTATTTTTTATAGAAAAAGGGAATCCTATGGCATTCTTCTTCGGCTTGTTGATTAGAAAAGTCAGTAGAGAATGGCAAGATGCATGCAAGCCAATGGACAGTCAGTTTTCTGCTTGGTTGGAATGAAAACTTCATCAACTTCAGCAATGAGCTGAGGAAAAGTGGAATTGTGTTCTCTGGAGTGATGGAGCTCAATCCACTATCTTTTGAAGTCTGTTGCACCTCGGTAGTAGTAAAAAGTTTCTAAGGGAGAACAAAAAAATTGAGGTTTTTGATGGCTGAAATTGTGCAAGTGATGCTAGAAATATTTTTTCAACTGTTTTTGGTGTGTTATACAGTCAGAAAAATAAATAAAGTGGAACTTAGGCTCAGAAACACACTTTCAACTTCTTTTTGTGATTGGATAGAAGCTAAAAATCAAAACAGAAATAATAATAATATTGAAAAGTTAATATATGATTATCGATTTGTTTTTTTGCACACAGGTTTTTCCAGTATGCACATTGGGATATTGTGTCTCTGTATACTGGCATTGTTTCTCTGTGCACTGGCAGTTTGGCCAGCCAACCATAATACTTCTTTAGGACCTAAAGGTAAGGCAGATTCCATTAATTTACTTATTTGATTGGTTTTGAAGTGATTGACTTAATAGAACTGTGTATTAAGATTACTTTATTAAGTTGTAATGAAGCATAAAAAGCAACTCTTGTTTATTATCTCTGTAGTTGGCAACAACAACAGCAGAAAGACCTTAGCGATACGGTACGAACTTGTCTTTTGTCCGAACATTGCTGTGTTCCTTGCCTTCATCTTTTGGGGTGCCACTGAAGGTAAGTACTATAGTCAAAATCCATGGGAAATATATTGTGCAAAAGTTTTAGCTAGTAAATTGTTTAAAACTATATATCTCAGCAGTAGCAAAAACACTGTTTAACCTTACAATAATTAAATCTAAATGGGTCCGTGACAAATAAGGTTTTCAAAAATTACAATTTTTAGAAAATCATATTTAAAAAGATGTTATGTACAAAAAAAATTTCAAAAATAAAATCATGCTAAACTGTTTTAGCACCACCTAACATTTCTAGATTTTTGGTGGCAAAAACAAACAAAAATGTTATTTTATATGGATGCATTTAAAATTGTTTCACATAAAAGAGGTATTGTTGAATACTTTGATATGTCGTGTATTTAAATTATTTAAATTATTTTTAAGGAAAATAATGGACTTGGACACAAAAAAGTCACATCATGTCAGTGACCTAAATAAAAAGTAAAAGAACTTCTTGTTTCCAAAAATGTAATTGATGTCTTATGAGCTGGTTAAATGCAGTTATTGCATTGACTTATTAAATAATTCCATCACCACCACACCTGATTTAAGTTAATGAACACTTACATCCCAGATAAATACCTTTTTAAACTATCATTTTCTTGGGTGCCTAAGAAATGTTTTCACTGTGTCGTGTAAATCAACTAACTATTGTCAGACATATCCTGTGTATTGTGTGATGTATAAAATATACTATCAAAATATTTTTATATTCACAATACACAGAAATACTACATTAGCTATGAAGGTTAAACCAGACAGTTTTGACTTATTTAAGTGTGCCCACTTTATTTAAGTGCACCCATTTCAACTATACAACTTTGTAGATAATATATTTTGATGCTAAAATTATTTAAAGAACAGAGATAATTGCGCAGCTATTGTTATTATTTATTTCATTTACATTTAGTGTGTATGTAGAAGACAGTCTTACCTCCTAAAAATGAAGAAAAACCTTTTGCTGTGTTTTCTCCAAACATCAAATATTTACATATATACAAATATATATTTACAAGATATATGCAGGTAATTATCCATTATTATTTAGCATTTGCTCATCTGACAGTGCCAGTAATTGTAGAGGACACTGTTTTGGAGCATAGAGATAAAATGGTTGTTTTCCAAATATTTATTTACCTCACTGTTTTTTTTACTGGTGTAATATCTTGTTTTTTCACTTGTGAAGGACACATTATTAAAACTGATTATTTTGCTTCAGGGTTCATCACTGAGGCGGCTACCTGCTCAGCCCTTAACCTGCTACGGATTCTTTCCCTGTTGTGGATTGCTCCCTATTTGGATGCATTTCAAGGTAGAAAGAAATAAAAACACGAAAAACATAAATGAGTCAGTATATTCCATCTTAAAGTAGAGGGTCCTGAATATTTTTTGAAGATAACTGGTCATTTAAGTGAAATGCATCCCATTTAAAAAGGAAGTATGTTTCATTTTCAAAGTATGTGTCAAGTTCGTAATATATTTCCATTTATGTTTAACAGATAAGTACAAAAATGTACACTATTACATATTTAATCCACATACAGTGGGGTCCAAAAGTCTGGGACCTTTAGTGAAAATGCTCCTATTTTGCATTGTTTGCTAGTTCATTACAAAGGTTTTCATTTAATTCAAATTTTATTATCAGCAAAACAGTGTGAGTGAAAAGTAGAATCTTTAGAAATATTTACATGAATTTCAGAATTTCCTAGTATTTGGTACAGTGTTTCTACCTTCTGCTTTAATGACAGTGTGCTCTCGAGCTGCACTTGTCCCCACAAATCAAATCCACCAAGAGTTGAGTTGTGTGAACACAAGCTACAGTAGAAGAGGAAAGACTAAAAAATCTGACCTTCTTGTACAAAGGCTTTAACATGGTCAGTGTCCCAAATTTGCTTACATTTGATTAGAGACCTAGAAATAGTGCAGAATTTTGAACACTTCTTCATTTTAAGTGTCATAGCTTTGCTTTGTTTCTAAAATAAAAATTCTAAAATATCCTTTTGTTCATTTACAGGTTTAAATGACCAAATTTATATTTCAGTTGCCAGATTCTCAATGTGGTCTCAGACCTTTGGTCCCACCTGTGTGTGCCTTTATTTCAATGTACTGACATATATCTGCATATATTGGTATATACATTTAAATTTTCAAAAATAGTTAAATATATTTAGCACCTGTATTTTAAAACATTGCATATATTGCACATATATTTTTAATATGAGCAAGTATATGTACATATATATTTATTAAAATATATAATATTACAAATTGAAAATATTTGATAGTTATCATACCAGTAATGCCTTGCATGAAAATGTACACTATATAACATGAGTTTTTGCTTTCTCTTATAAAAACTATGTAACATAGTTCCAGTGATTTGTACTTAATAATTTTAGATATATGTCTTTTATTACAAGCCCAGAAACACTGGAGTGCATTAAAGTCAGTCATATGGACTTGGAAATAGGCTCTGTCACAATTGCGTATATCAATATCTGATATAATTATGTTCACTTTTATGTTTTAACTGTTTATAGTAGGCAACAGCCTACTTGCTAAATGTTTTATTAGCTGCTTGGCTAACTGCAGCTGCACACAATTCACAGGTTTATGTGCCATCTGTAATTATCTGATATAATTCTGCTAACATTTGTGTTTTTACGTTTAGTGAATTAACTAGCTTATGGTTAGCGATTTAATTACCTTTCCAACTGCACCAAACTGGAGGGTTTTGGTTGCCAGTATTCTGGTTCAGCTTTGGTCAAGACTATTTTACAAGGTGATGGAAAATGCAATAGTCTAATCTCATGTAGTAAGCATTGGCCAACAGTGTCCCTATTGCTATCTGGGATGGATGCACTGTTCTTTTATTTGTTCCAGGGTTCTCCACTGAGACTGCTGCTCGCTTGGCCCAAAAGATTCTTTCCCTGTTTCAGGTTTCTCAGTATTTGATTACAATTAAAGGTATGTTTTACTGAGCAGTATTTCTAGGAGTTATGGTAAATCTACACACACACACACACACACACACATACATTTTCTAAGCTGCTTATCCTTCTGGGTCACGGGTCGGTCAATAAAAACATATAAAATAAGAACAAAAATGATCAGTATAATCAATCTTATGACACATTACACAGAAATCAGAATTAGAGTTGTATACAGTGTCTGAGGTATTTTAAATGTTTACAGTTGTCTTTTTGGGAGAATGTCGAATTTGAATGGATGAATATATACTAAAAAAATACATTTCCAGATCTATGAGACTTCTCAATGTGGTTGAAAGGCACTTAGTTGTGAATACAATGGCTGGTTCAAACGGTGGGCTTATTATATTACAGAGAGCGTCCGAAGATTTGTTAAAAGATCAACAGTTGCGCTGGAATATGCTGTGGTAGCTACTGTAACCTACTCAAGTAAGTACGCATTATTCTTACACCTCATAGTTATCAAGATGTTTTTCGTTCATATCTGCACATCGCAAAATGGCAGAGAACAATTAAAGCAGTAACATATAAAATATTTGACATGCCATTTGTTGCTAAGGATGCTGCTAAGGAAAAATCGACAAAGCAACGGTCCTTTAATTGAGGTGATACAATATAAACAGAAGAATGTATTCATAAAACCTATCTACAGGCCTTAATACAAATAGAAATATACAGAAATATCCAATAACCTGAGATAAAAAGGCAGTGCAATAATGACTGTACAAGGAGGCACAGGTAACAGCATATAATGACAATACTGAATCAATATGTGCATATATTGGTACTGAAATAAAGTGTCTAGGTGTGGAGTGTCCAGATGTGCAAGATGTGCGATAAGGTGTGCAGAAAGTGCAATATGTACAGTAAGGTGTCTATGTGCAGATAGATCAAATAAACCTGTAACGGTAGATGTGCTTGATAAGTCTTCTTTGGTTCTGTTTCTGCTGTAGGTCTTTTTGGGAATTTCAGTTCTGCTGACAAAGTATCACAAGCATGGATAGGGGTGCTGTTCATAATACTGCCTCTGTTTTTCATAAATATCATCATTCAAGGTAGGAATTACAATCCTTTATTGTTTTACATCTACCAATACCAATTTTCCCACATTCTTACGTCTTACAGTCAGGTTGGATCTAAACCAGTAGGAAGACAGTCCCTTGATCAGAATGGGATTTTCTAGCAAATCTAATAGAATGTTGTGAACTTTGGTGTATAATTTTGCATTGACATCAAGTAGCATGAGAAAAGAAGCCTGTAGAGCCCTGGTTGGAAAACAGCTTAGGGTGCTAATCTTAGGGGTAGGTGGTAGCTGATAAAATGGGCAGTGGGGGTTGATATAGAGCTCTGAGGTTGTGTTGTCATTCTGGAGTTTGCCATTAGCATCCTGACAAACCGAGGATCTAAGTCATTATTCTCAGTGGAAAAATGAATGGTGTTTCTCACGTGCTGAAATGTTATGTGCTCTGTACTTTTCCCCCCCAAATAACAGTGTGTCACTTGTATTTTGAGGTTGCTGTCCAAGTATTTATTTTCCTACATAACACCTACACATTTAACTGACATCATCAAGACAGCTGTTAAGTGCCTTTGGTATTGCTAGCTTACAATTCGAGTAGCTGGTGTTAACACATCCTCTACAGAAAACATGTCTGCACATTTTGATGCGTAGTTACTGTTTATTTTGCTGAACTGAACATATCGGGGAAAAATGTGAACATAAAATGTGGCTTGGGCAAAAGCTATGGCACATTTTATGTGTTATTTATTTATTTTTTTAACATATTAAGTTCAGCAAATAAAAAGAAACTGTGCACTAATACATGCAGGAAAATGCCTTATTTAAGTTTGTACCATGTAAAGGATGTCACAACTTTTTTTCAGTTCAAGAAAAACATCATTTGACAGGAATTATTCAAGCTTTTGCATATGTCTGTTGCTCTATTTTAGAGTAAAATACCTTAAATACATTAAAATAAACTTTAAAAAAGGTGCCAAAACTCAGAAGCAGAAGAACTGCAGAAGTAGAAAAGGGACTCTAGCAGCAGAAATATTAAAGCTAAGACTGGCAAAATGTACCTAAACCATACCTAATAAACTGGCAATTCAGTATAAATACTATGCAAAATTAACTCAGAACATGTGTATAAGTGAGAGCTTTGATCCCAGACAAGACTTTTTTTTTTTTAAGTCTTATTCACTTGTTGTAGCAATGATGCTGACCATCTACAGGAAAAAGCTACTGTATTGAATAAGGAAATTTGCACTTCAAATATGAAATAACTGTAGCTGTCCCCAGTGCTGAACACGTGTATATTATCAATTTCATCAAGTGTAAATTGTCAGCAATTGTATATGATGATGATGATGATGATGACCACTGTTACAAATGCATCTTATTTTTTTTTTAATGTAGGACTCATTAAAAGGTTCAGTGAAACATACAGCATTTGGAATTACGGTTTCGCAGAAGTTACAAATTTTGGACGGATGGCTGCTATTGGTTTCTTAGGTGTTCAGTATAAAACACTTAGTACAGGTAAGTAAATAATTCCAATACATTTTTGTATTGAACCATATTGAACAGGCCCAACTTCACACCCTCTCGTTTTGTAAAAACAAGATATTTTAAAAATATTGTGTTATGTGCTGTATGACATCATACATTTTGATTTGACTGCTGTTTGTGTTTTCAGTTCTACTCATTTATCTGATAGTTTGTTTATGTTGTAGTATATTATTGTTTCCATTACTGTATTGCTTTATCATTTTCATTAATAGTGGAATCTCATTAAATGAAATATACGTACAAGATGAATATAACATGATTACAGAAAAACTCTATGAATGTCATCACTCTTTCATTTCCAGTTATAGCACTCCTGCCATATCTGCCCCTGTTTTTAATCTTTTTGCAGATTTCAGTGTAAGTAAATTACTTTGCAACTTCCTGTATTTTGGTATTTAGCATGTTATTTGTAACTTGGTTGTGATATCATGTAGCTTAGCTCTGATGATGGCTCACAAAAATAAAATAAGCTTTTAGACTTCTTAAGGGAAGTAAGGAAATTAGTTCAATTTTCTAACGTTAGCTAAAGGTAGTCAGTTTGATAGCCAGCAAACTAAATTTTCATAAACAAACTAAAAGCTGTTATGATCGTCTTTGAAGATTAATAATTTGCTATGGCAATTACTAAGTATGGTAATTATTAATTATGGTAATGCAATTTGACATTATACAATTTTTATGATGTCAAATGGCAAATTCCATTTACACCCCTGTAATTTAGGTTGAAATATTGATGTATTTTGCTTTGCATAGCAGTAACCAGAGTGTTAATGTCAGTATCAAAGACTATAAAAACACTTTCATCTAATTTTACTTGTGTGTTCTTTTTTACTCAAGCCTAAAAGCAGTTTTATCCCATTCTTACGGCATCAGGACATGGCGATCACTGTGTAAGTATAAATCCGCACCGTTTAGAGTTTACAGTCTTCTGCTTACTTAAAGAATGTCTGAGATTATAAACTATGAGAAATTCTAGTTCCAACACAAAAACTCATGAAACTCATGAAATGTCATGAAAACAGCAAACTCATGAAATGTCAGAGTGCTCTAAGCTGTAAGGTAAATATCACGTAGAGCTCTGTTAGTGGCCTGATTCACACTACTATAGAAATGGCTGCTGTTCAGCGATTAATGCTTAATTAGTAATGAATTATTTTAACATGTATGTATTTGGTTGAAATTTAAGTGCATCAATGAATAGAACAATTAAATGTTCAGGAAATGTAATATAGGTATTTTTCAAACTTTGTTGAGGAAAATTAGCCCTTTTAAGTACCAAATGTACCAAATGAAAACCTCTAAAATCATCTTTGTCTTTTGCAGTTTTGATCTGGATGTTATTGCTGTTAATCTTGGAGGTTCTAAACGCATCACTGTCAGTCTACATTCATAATGTTATACTGGAATCTAACGACGGTAAGTAGCAGTCTTACTTCATGGCTGCTATGGGGATGACGCTTTTTACTTGGATAACCCGAACATGGGCCTGCTGATGATGAGTACTATAACACACTCACATTAGGAGAGAACAGGGCACAGACTAAAGCAGGGTAAAATGTAAAGGACGTTTCATGTAGTTAAACTTGTTCAAGTAGATTGTTCTAATATTCTCAAAACAATATCATCTGCAAACTATAACAGACTATGATGTAGGTTGCTTGTATAACAAATTCTTCCTCAGACATTTTTAAAAATTATTTAGCAAAACGCATTAGGCTGTGCCCCACTCTCCTACTGTTTTTTGCTTGCATTGTCACACAATAAATATGTAGGATTTGTCTACATATAATTCTGAGTGAATGTATACATTTGTGTTTTTGTGCATGTGCCAAAATGCAGTATGTCATTTTATGTCACTACAAATTAAATGCTAGCATGAATGCTAAGCTAGTTGGCAAGCAAGGTGTAAAAGTGTTCACTGAATGTGGTTTAATAGGTTTGGTGGCTCTTTTACAGGAATTTAACTGGCTATAATTCTTCTTTTACATGACCATTTCAATCCTCTCTATAGAATTAGGATTAAACAGGCTTTTATTTGTTACTGTGCCTTAAAGATTGATATATGTAAATGAGCTCTGTTCTCGTTACAGTAAGTAGTCCAGCCTAAAACACTCCTTGTAACTCAAGCACGAATGGGCAGAGATAAATTATTGTTTAGATGTATGTCAGATATATGCAACCGTGTTGGTGTCACTTCACAAAAACACTGAATTTAAAACCATCTGTTTTTGCAGCTTTGAACAAATGGACTGAAACAACGGAGAAGCTGAACGGTATGTTTTGAGATTTACATACTGCACCAGCAGGTTTAGGAGAACATAATTTTTACCTTAAGTCCTTAATACTTCTTGTTGTGCCTGATAAAAATTCCTGCACATGTATTTTTTTTTTTGTTAATGATCTGTACCATGACAAAGTTCAAGCAGTCAGTAGGGGTCTGGACAGAACTGGACTCGCATGTGTTTTCTCTCTTTGCTTGGTCATTCTGTACAAGTAATAAAAATGCCACAGATGATCAGTCTGTCACGTTTTATTAGTAGCATTTGCTGTATGATGCACTATTCTGGATGATTGTAATGACTGAAACAGTTTAAAAACCATGTTTCTTTTTGCAGAACGTGCAGTGCGGACCTGTGTAGCTGCATACCTCTACATTTTGACTTTGATGCTACTCCTTGAATATCTGTTCAGTTTTTGTGGTACAGTATTCACTGATTACTTCTAGGCCTGGACAGTCCATTAAATAATGGTCTAATCCAGGGGTTCTCAACCTTTTCTCAACCTTTTTCACCCCAAGGCCCTTTTTTCTTAATTGCTCACAATGAAAACCTGTGAATTAGGGCCTGAAAAAGATCAGACCATCCTTTTCACTTCAATCACAGAAACCAGAATTTGCTATTATGTTTATGTTGCAGTGTTTTTGTTTATACGTCTCTACCAGCCCACTACGAACTACTGCCTCCCCTCAAGTTCAGGCCCGCTTGACCACTAGAGAGTGCCATTGGTGGTCTGCACAGGTTGAAAAACCCTGTTCTAATTGTAATTATTTGAGATGATTACAATCTTCCACATTACATTTCACAGTAATATTAAGAAGCTACAAAAAATGTGAATTAGATGCACTTGAGGCAAATCAATGTAAATAAAAGAAAGCAGTAAATGTATTCATTGAGACATCATGGAGTTTAAAAAAATAAAACAACTCTAACTGTCTGGATGTCTCCATCAGAGGCTAGTGAACACTTGCATCTAACCCCACTTCTTTTTCTTTATGCAGCCCGCCTCTACACAGGGTCTAATTCTGACAGCCCCAAGAGACCACAATCAACGAGTAAGTCCACTATGCACTAAGAAAATGTTTGAAGCAAATATGAAACAAATTATGAAATATCCTAGAGCCTTGAACCTGACCACCACAACGGGAGACTGAATAAAACTCCACATTTTGTTCAGTCTCCAGTTACTCATGGTCAGGTTCAAGTCAGGTTTCTCTTGAATTTTGATTGCAGTTTGATTTGCATCCAACACTCTGGAGAGAAACCATCCAATGCAAAGTCATTCCAAACTTCATTTAGATATTTTTTGGTTTTATGGTCATATTTTAGGAGTAGAACAACATTAGTGAGAAAGTGGTCACTCTGTACGAAATCAAGCAAAATATTCAGAGCACCATGAGAGTCACACAGGAGTGTACAGTATATGTTTGGTGAGCTGTGATGTGATGGTCTCCCCCAAGTTAATGTGAACATGAGATCTTTTTTCTACATGCTTGGTGCAGTGGGTCTCATTTTTGTGAATTCTGTTGCACTGGTTGTAGAACTGATCCTAAAAGCACGTAAGTGAGCTCTACACTGTCGGTTCCACGCCACTGACAATGATGATAATTGTGAAATGCACAGCTAGTACATTTGGAAAGACTTTACTGCAGGGTGTAAGGCATCTACATAAGATTGTCAGACCAGCTGACTTAAACCTGCTTAAACATTTACTAAGACTTATTTCAAGAGGTGACGTCTGTCATAAAGGCTGCCTTTGTCAGCTTAAATGTCGACAAAACACCTGTCAGGTGACGCTTATTTTTTTTTTCTGACATTAGGTTGTCATGACACAAATGACAGCCCACTATAAGAGTTCACTCTGTAGCTTAGTTTATTTCACAGTGACATAGACTGATGATGTGACAGCTTAAATCTTTTAACTGGTGAAATTAAACTCACTTTAACTTACAGTCACAGAAAATGCTTACTTGTGTTCAACCAGCCTGACTGTGCAGTCTGTCATATTATTAGCATTATGTCACTGTGATAAACATACTGAGCTACAAAGTGTCATTTAACCCAAATAGTGTCATAATACAACATAATGATAAATAATAAAGCAGAAAAGATGAATGTCTCTTGCTGTTCATGCTGTGTCAATTTGACATCAAAGCATCCTTTGTGACAGAATATGTGTTTATAAATGTTTATGTAGGTGTATGTTAGTCGTTATGAAGGACTTATGTAAGGGTCCTGTAGGCCTATGAATGCTGACCTAGAATAAAGTGTAACCAAATTTACAGAATATGTATAGAAAGTTTGGGTTTTAGCCTTTGAGTGATTGTTTTTGTTAAATATATGCTGGCTGCCAATGATTTTACTTGCAATATCACAAAGAACAGCAAGTAAAAAATACATTTTAAAAAATGTTGAAAAATGAAATCATCATAATTTGTTGGGAGCACAGATGTGTGACAGTTTTGCTCAAATTCATTACAGAAAAAGTATTTAGTTCAAAAATAAATGTCATTGCACTGCAAATTGTCAAATGCAAACCTTTTAACAACACAAACCTTAACCTTGCTATCACTGCATTGCTATCACTGTGTGTGCCTTATAATAGAGGCATTGCAACAAAAGCATACAGTATGTAACATAGTACTATTTGCCACTAATATCCATCCAGTAATGATGATTGCTCAAGTATATTTTGCCCCATTGTATTTTTAATTGTTGAAAACAACACAAAAACAACCTTGTTTCCAATTCCACCATAACAAAAATAGTACTAGAATCCTAACAAACAGAGTCTATAAGGAGAAAATGGACAGCCTGAAAAAGCCAGTGAAGTATTCTCCTCTATTACTCTAATTACTCTCAGTGGGGAGTATGAGACTTAAAGCACAGGTAGCCTGTTGTGTGTTCAGACTTGCAGTATAGCAGTGCTACAGTCTGTCAGAGGAGCCCATATTGGGCTGGCTTAATCTGACCAAGATACTATTACGGATAATGCAAAGGATTGAGACACAGTGTGATGTGAATTGGATCAACTGAATATCTACAAAGAAAGTATTAATTGTTTAGTTGTAGTCATGATTGAAACTGCACAAAACCATGATGTAGTGCCAACTTTCACAAGAAAAAGGCTGAATAAATATCCTCAGAGACAGAGATCTGTGTGGTACCTTTTTTTAGCCCCCCTTCCACAGAAAATCTGCTTTGTTTGTCCCGCTCCCACCCACAGCTTAAATCTTTTGACCTGCCCCTGCCCTCAACTTAAATGTTTTGTCCCATCCCCTCCCACAGTCCTGTATAGCTGACCTCCATCTGCGTTAGTCGCGACTGAAAATGACTGCCACACATCAGGCTTGCTTTTAGTCTATTTTATCATGTATTCGCCTTCATTAAGAACACTTTGCACAGCTGTGGCTGTCGGAGGGCTTAGCCGTTAGTCTGTAAGAATGTAAATTGAATGACGTTCATGTGATTGGTTGCTTCACAACTATTCAGAATGAGTTTATAACTTTTTGTTCTTCTGCTGTTAGATATTATTTATATATTCTAATTATTAACTGATCATTTAATTTAGGCTATTCTGTGATTTAATTCATTCAGTCATTTATTAGGCTATTAGGTGTTGTCCTGCCCCCACCCACTCTGGGCTGGCTAACCTGGCTAACCACAAAAAAAAAATTAGCCCAGCACTGCAATGTATTGTGGTGGGTCCAGTGAATCCTGTGGAACTACTGCAGCCCTGGTGTCTCCTAAAAGAGGTTTTAGGAGTAAAAGTCTTATTGATCCTTTGTTCTTCTTCATTCTTATGTTCCATTAGGAAATGGCGAGCGTACAATGGATCTGCGAGTCATTCTCATACCCTCTGAATGTGTCTTCGCTTTGTGCTGTTTTGCTCTCCAAATATCTGCATTCTGTAAGTACAGCAAATATACCAACATGACACAGTTTGTGCTCTAAACAATCAGTACATGGGGCCACGTCTTAGGGAGCTCTGCTGCATATCATCATTAGCATGTTTTTTTCACTGGCAGTAACAGACACCCAGAGGTACCCCCTGCTCAGGTACCTGTGTCCGTTTACCATCACAGTACAGAAACATGAAATTAGACGAGGGTCTCTGGAGGTTGTGTAGTTGTCACGCAACACTGTTGTTTGTGTTTACTGTTAAGAGTAAACACTAGTAGAGATTATCCAGTCGTAACTGTCACAGACAGTGATTCTAGTAGGCTGGTGTTTCTTTTTAAAGTGGCAGATGTCTGACTTGTGACGACATAACTGACTCTGTGACGATTGTGCTTGACCAGTCAGTGGTCTGCATTATTTCTAGCTCCACCAATGATTTCTGGCTCTACATGCTTTTCACACTAACAATAAGAATGACCAAATGCATCACAGGTACTTCAACGTGGTACGATTCACTTAGCAATGGAAATGACAACAAATACTTGATCATGAATTTATAACTATAAATTGATATTTGATATGTTATACAGGCAGAAAAATTCCACATAGTGGAATTTAATTAGCAATGCAATTCCATTTTTTTTTCTTTCTTCAATAGCCCTTAAGTACGATATAACCCTTTTAGAATAGACTAATGAATTTACTGCTAGAACATGCACGGAACATGATCAGTTTATAATTCACCTCACTGTCCCTTTTGTTTTTACACAGGGAGGACATTCAGAGAAAAGTAAGTTTGGATTTGATCAAAATATGGTCACATATATGTATTTACAGAAGATATTCATTATCATTATCTTTCGCTGTCACAGTTTTATGGATGACATAGAGGGCTTACGTCGATTGTGCACGTGTCCAGTGGTGAGTATGTCATCTTAAGCTTATAAAAAGCAATAAATACAAATTTCCTTGAAAAAAAAAAACAGATGTAAAACAAATAGACGTACAAACTTATATAACTTACCAGCTGTAGATTGATTTTTTTCTGGCATGGAAGGCTCAGCAGCCAGTTTACTGAAGATGAACTTTTTTACTACTATATTCACATTAGTTTTATATGTATTCCATGTCTTATGAGTTGATCAGAGAGCCAAAATATGAAATTGTAGTTAGCATGTAAAAAAGCTATTTATTTATTGCTCAATTAAAAGGCCTATTTCACTGAAAACTGTATTTTTTTAAACAACAGAGTTTGAAATAATATGTAAACATTGTTTCTAAATCTGCCATTTACTGCCAAGAAATGGAAACTAAGGGAAACTAACTAGAGGAACTATTGGGGACCGATTGTTTCTGTGATGTCAGGCAAACCTGCTAATTTACTTATATCCACCTATTGAGCCTACAGCAGTTTATCTAGGGCTGAAAAATGAATCATTTGTATGTCGAAATCACAATTTGAAAGAGTGCAATTTTCTAATTGTGAGAGCCGCATTTTTAATTATAGTTTACATTATCAAGTTTTGAGTGGGGAAATTCAGCCTAATAACACTGAGCTTGTGAACTGCTTGTAGATGTGTTAGACCAATCAGAAGAAACAAACACCCGTGTGTTGTAACATCACAACCAACAAGCCAGAAAAAGAAAATCGTGGTCTTCTTGGCAAAGAAGGCATGGAGCTCAGTTTAGATAAAACAAGTGCAAATCAAATCGCAGTCCTAGTACTGGCCAGAAAAATCACTATTGGGTACTCTGTCTAAATCATTCAGCCCTAAGTTTAGCCCCAGAAGCTGACTCTCTGAGTGCCTAATACAGTGCAACCAATCATTTAGCTCATTTAGCTCACAGTAACAAAAATATTATGACTATTTTTGGTACACAAAACCCCATAAATGTTACAAGTGTACCTCACTCATAAAAGTAAGAAGAATTGACGAAATTGGCCCTTTAAGTTTAGATTTGTTTGCGTGATGCAGTTGCTACATCTCAAACCTTTATTTGCAAATACTAGAATAATATTTTATAACAGCACATACCAAATTTCTTGTCTTTCCTTCTAGAACACAATGATACGCAATTGTGAACTGCGGTCTCTGCAGTCTACAGAAGCTGATCCTACTCCTGCTCCTGCTCCTGCTCCTCAGGAATTGGGGTCTTAGGAGGTAAGATGTAGCTCACGTTCTTTGTACTGATAAGAAGCTGAAAGTAAAAAAAATAATTCATGTTTAAACACAGCACTCAACTCACCCAAAGGGAAATTCCACCAATTTTTTTTTTTTTTTTCACAATTCGGACATTGAGATGTAAACAGTCATTGAGAGTGATTTGATGTGAAATGGTTCATTTGTAGAGAATTTGCAGAGTCAATCTCTTTACAGTGGTGGTGATAGGAACCAGGGTCCACAGTGTCTACAACACAAATACAGCCTTTTTATTTACTATCCAGAACCACCTACACGTGCCTTCTGAGTTTTTATATGTAATGTTGAAGATGGCAAAGTAGTGGAAAATCTGATAAAATTCATTTTCTTTGAGGATTTTTGGCCTCACAACAACCTGAATGTACTTCATGTCATTTAAGGCCAAAACTATCATAAAACAATGATTAAGACATCAGACAACATATTCATAACCACTTCAAGTAATAACCTTTACTGAGTGAATGTCTGGTTCCTATCAACACCACTGTGAACAATTCTGACGCTAGAATGGAGCATTTCACACCAAACCACTCTGAATGACATTGTTGACATGTTAACTGTTTAAAAAAAGTAAAAGGATGTATAATGTATTTTTCTGTTTTATAGGTGTTGAGAATTAATGACACTTCTTGTATCCGGATCACCTACATGAAGACATGTTGGGGTTTGAGATCCATTTGAGAGACACAAATGGAATCTTACAGCATGAAACTGGCATTGATTGTGATTCATGCCTCACGACATGCTTTGCACCCAGTCTTCTAGCACACATCCATCTGAGGTCTCATGAGTTTTGCCACCTGCAAGCAGACGTTTGCAAGATGCCGTGACTTTCTTTTGTTTTTTGGGGCGTTTCACAAGGAAATCGCAGTCTCAGACGTTACCTTTTCAACAGAAGTTAGTCTCCGGATTATAGTCTGATTTCAGCTGTACCTGCCGACTGTATATGGACTGTATTTCCCCTCTGCCTTGTGTGCAGAGAGGTAAAGACATAATTGGAAAGTATGGATTTAAACCAAAGATCTTCTCTGCTCAGGTCATCGTGGATTTAAACCAAAGATCTTCTCTGCTCAGGTCATCATGGATTTAAACCAAAGATCTTCTCTGCTCAGGCCATCGTCATTTTAAAGTGATATTTTTAAAACGTGTCTGTCAACTTCAACATCCAGAAGCGATCACAACACACTGTTAAGAAACAAAATCTAGATGCATTGATAGCAAAATATTGTAGATGTGCTAAGAGCAAAATTAAAGGGGACACGTCCCGTTGCCCCCCCCCCCTTAAATTTAGTCCTGTGGACTTATGGGACAGAACAGTTCCCCAGACAAACACCAATATATTTTTGAAATCTTTGTGTGATAGTCTTGACTCCAGTGGATTAAGCTCCCTGGGAGAAAGCAGTGCCCTCTGTGGGGAGCAAACGTGCAGACCTACGCCTTCTGCTGGTTGTGGTCAAAACATTTTGAATCACCAGTGGGTTTTGGTCTAGAAATCACTTAAAGCTGAAAACTGTTTGTGAACGTCTTTTTGCGACCCTTGTGTCATTTTGCACAGTAGCTATGAATTAGAGGTGGGCGATATGGAAAAAACTGTACATCACGATACTTATAGAAATTTGTACAGACTAAATATTGTCACATTTAATACAAAATAGTCACATTTATAACTGCTATCAAAACTATGAATACAGTGAAACTATGAATACAGTGAAATTAGTCCAGTTTAATTGGATTTAAACTGGACTAATTTAACTAATTTCACTAATTTCACTTATGCTCTCCTTTGCAGGTGGTCAGTGCTCTTTAAGTACTGACAATGTCTACAATAGGCTCAGAAACTGTACTGTTTATCAGAACAAAAAATGATCACGATAACGATTAATGGTCATCATATTGCCCACCCCTATCAATACAGTAACAAAACACACTGCTAAGCCACTGCACAGATTAAAACGATGTACAAAACCTGTGAAATGATGCTGGCGCCGCTCTGTAGGACGCGTGGTAGTGACGTCATCAGTGCGGCAGACTGTAGTCTGTAAAAACTGTGTTTATTTGTTTTTTATTGTCGTTAAATCATTTGGAACATTTGAAACAAAGCTTCAAATACAAGGAATATGCAACTTTGTTTGTACAACCTTTAAAGTGATTCACCCCCAGTCCATCGTAAGCGTACAATTTGAACAAAATAATTCAACGACTTCCTTTACCTGTTGCTTTGGAGCTCAATCAGTCGACACTGATAAGCAGTGCAGAGTAAAAAGATGGAGATGGAGAAGACTGCCAGACCCCTGTTCATTCAGGACATGATTTCTGAAATGTTGGATGTAATAGTCCAAAACATCCATCCATATCTATGTCAAAACTAGCTCACTTACAGCTTGAAAAGCTGCTTGATTTGTAAAAAAAGCTGAGTTACTGGGAAATGTAGTTAAAGCAGTAGCTTCAAAGGAAGCACTTCATTGGCCCTGACTGTAGCATTAGCCACCATGATCTTCCACCAAGCTGAAGATTTACACACCAAATTAAGTAATCAGGGGTATTTAATGAACAAGCTACTGAGTCAGAAGTGTAAACTGTGTTGTCATCTCTCATTTTAATGAATGTGATGAAGGTATACAGTAATGTGATTAGAGTTATTTCATCCAATCACATGGAAACAACACCTAAAAGAGTAGCTTCCACAGATAGACATATGTTGAGATTACAAAAGATTTCATTCTTTTGGATGAGTTTTACTGTCCATACTGTACAAAACCTTTTTGAGCAGGTAGCACTGGTGCTAGAAAAGTTACAAGTGTTACAATAGCTATTAGCATTCTGCACAAACTTGAAGCAATAAAATGAAAATGTATTGTGCTTTTTGTTGCTGAACAGCGTTTTTACTTCAAAATGACTTTTAGTGATAAAAAAATACTTTTTTGGTTTATTTATAAAAAAAGGTTGTATTTGACATGACTCATTTCTAATTTTCTGTATGTCAGAAGTTGTGTACGTTTGACGCCCCATAACCTACTGATAAAGGAACTTTGTACATTTTATTTTTTCATCGAAATCATAACATGAGAGGATTTTATGTTTCTCTGCCATTATAGAGCTGCAAAAAACTATTGTCGTAAGTTTTGGCTAAAGTTGCAAGGACCGAATGTGTAGTGAGGAGGACTGTCACCCAATAAGGACTGTCTGGGTTTGTCAGACACTAGAGGGCGCTCCCGAGCAAGTCCAAAATTAATGGGTTCCTGTGGAGCTTCTGCACAAAATCATAGTTTGTATATTGCACTAAACAAAAGAACAGCATAAAACATTTTAACACTGCTGTTATATTTTTATAAAATATATTACAAAATATAAACAAACTCCAGTTATAGGAATTTATAACAGCGTCTCATGTCTGTTCATGACATCAGTGAGAGCAAACCGCTTCACCAATATCAGCTAGCCAACCAATCCAGTAGCAGTAATGCTAAAGAACCAGCAATCAGTAGCAGTAATGCTAACCAATCATCACTCAGCAGTAGTAATGCCAACCAATCAGAACCCTGTAGCAGTAATGCCAACCAATCAGCACCCAGTAGCAGTAATGCTAACCAATCAGCACCCTGTAGCAGTAATGCTAACCAATCAGCACCCAGTAGCTTTAGCCTGAATGAATAACTGACTCTAAATGTAGGTATTGTGATATAAACTGAGTCTGTTCTACAGTTTCTCATTTGGGTGAATGAATAACTGACTCTAAATGTAGGTATTGTGATATAAACTGAGTCTGTTCTACAGTTTCTCATTTGGGTGAATGAATAACTGACTCTAAATGTAGGTTTTGTGATATAAACTGAGTCTGTTCTACAGTTTCTCATTAGGCTGAATGAATAACTGACTCTAAATGTAGGTTTTGTGATATAAACTGAGTCTGTTCTACAGTTTCTCATTAGGCTGAATGAATAACTAACTCTAACACTGAAACTCGAGCATTACTACAATACGTTATCTGAATGCAACAAGTGTGATGATTGAACTGAATAAAAATGAACTAGAAATCACTAAAGGGTTAAAAAGTGTCCTCACCCTGTAACTACTAACCGCTTCACTCTGTATATCATACATTTTAAAAGAGGCCTAATATTTATTTCTGTGAGCTTTTAGCCAAAACTTTGTCAGGCCTTCAGCGGTTTTGACTGTCGATATTTTGCTGAGCGAGTAGCGCCAGAGCCCCTCCCCCAGGTCTGATATGATTGGCTTACGACTGAGGAGGTCTGATCTGATTGGCTGATCCGGGCGTTAGACTTTTCCCCCCGTGCTCTGCCACTGAACAGCCAGACTGTCGTCTCCTCTTTTTTATGGAGTTAGAAAATCTCTGTAGGCACAGCTGAGGCAGTTAACCCCCCTAAATCTGGCCCAGCGACGCCCCCGACTGTTTCTACCCAGATACCGCAGAGAAAAACATCCTCAGTGGACAGTTTTCCCCCTTTTAGCTCTCGTTTCCAGCCAAAACTTAACAACGAAACACGAGCAATATGTGCAGAATCTGAACTCAACGAGTAAAACTGAATAAAAAATAAACTACAAGTGACAGAATGGTGATTTATTTTTATTATTTCACATAAATCATTAGACCTGGAGCTCTTTGAGGTTCCCCACTGCAGTGCAGCGAGCAGTGGGCGGACGCAGGGGTTTCTCATAAAGTGGACAGGGGCTGTATCAGCAAACAGTACAGAGACTCGGCTCCTTGGAGGAAACTCAATCACCAGATGTTCCATTCATTGATCCGAACAGTTCGTTCGTACGAACCGAATCAGTTAAATGAACTGAACTCTCCCAGCGCTGTTAATGCAGGAAGCCATCTAGCGTTTGACCGAGGAACTGCACCGGATCTCTTTCGAGAAACTGAGTTTTATTCAGTTCTTATTATTATTTAAATTTGCGACCTTGTGTTTACATTTACGAGCTGAACGCTTTTCTAGTGGGTTTTATTATTTTATTTTAAAACCGTTGGCACAAAATTAACTCCACGCACGGGCCTACAGCAGGACCCCATCGTGTACTGGCTGGAATTACTCATGGAATTTTTTTCGAGTCACGTTATATATTGATGACGTCATCGATGGGATTGTGCCGTCATTGTGTGACGTCATAGTGCCGCCCTGAAAAACTATATATATATATATATATATATATGGGTGTAAAACCTCCACTTTCCACTATTGCACTTCAGCAGTGCGCCGTGTGGTTTGTGTTCAGATCTCTGTGAGAACTGAAAGCAATTTGTTCATTGATTTACTGGAACCAGTTTATCGAACGGTTTTCAGTGCAGTGTCCTGAAAAATGGACAGTTCTATTAAAGACCTAAAAGCTGCTGTTGGTGACGCACTACAGAACACAGCTCATGTGTACAGTCAAGCCCTGGATAAACTGGAGAAAGTCCAGGAAGAAGTGTCCCAAGTGAGAGAGCAGCTCGAGACCAATCAAATTGTGGAGATAGAGCAGAACATGACCGTGCAACACTACCTGCTGGTACTGCTGGAGGAGCTGACAGCAGCGCAGGGAAAGAAGCACGAGGAGACAGGACTGGGAGCAGGAGACGACCTCCTGGCAAACTACCAGGACCTGGAGAGAGAAAACAGTCAGCTGAAAGACAGACTGTTCAGGATGGAGATGGAGATGAAGGAGGATAGAGAGAGGTGGAAAGCAGAAAAGGAGGAGGTAATGAGGAGATCAGAGAATCACCTGGAGGAAATGTCCATCAACAGGGCCATGATGGAGCAACAGGTGAGGGATGTGGAGAGTGAAAACCTCCAGCTGAAAGAGAGACTCTTCAGGATGGAGATGGAGATGAAGGAGGAACGAGAGAGGTGGGTAACAGAAAAGGAGGAGATGATGAAGATAACAAAGGAGTTCATGTTGTTAATCTGCAGCTCCTTGGCCTCGATGGGGCAGAATGTGAGGGATGTAGAGAGAGAAAGGGACGATAGAATAGAAAAGAGAGGAGATGAGAAAGAACTGAAAGAAAGAAAGAAGGAGCTGAAAAAGAAGGATAAGGAGCTGAAAAAGCAGATGAAGGAGGAGGAGAAGAGGGTGAGGAATTTGGAGCGTGAAAGGGAGAAAGAAAGGAAAGTAGAGGAGAAAGAAAGGAAGAAGGAGCAGAAAAAGAAGGATGAGGAGCTGAAAAAGCAGATGAAGGAGCTGCAGGAGGAAAGGAGCTCAGGAAAGAGGAGCTTCTGGAGAAGACTGTGGAGAAGGAACTAAAAGAGACCCTGAAAGAAAGGAGGAGTGAGTGAAGGAGTGAGTGAATGAGATTTCTCCCTGAAATGAGCGAATAAAAACGTATCTAGAACCATTGAGTTGTGTTTGAGTGGTTTCTGTTTCCACTGTACTCCGAAATACACACATCACCATGTGTGCACTGTGTCTGATTAATACTAAGAATAATTATTATAATAATAATCAATTAATGTTGCATTTAAAACATTGAGTTTAATCCAACATTTCCCCCAAAATTCATGTGTATATAGGTTAATAAACTACATCTCCCATAATTCTCCCTAATGGCCACATCACTGATAACTATGTTTAAATATTAGCAGAGGTTGGACAGAGCCAGTTATTTCTGGACATAGTGTGTCCAGGAATGGACAGGCATCCAAAAACTTGGGCAGTCCAGGGAAATCCTGGACAGGTAGCAACCCTAATAGTATTTGAGTTGCATGCCTGAACATCCCAAACAGTGAAAGCTGCTTTGGGCAGCGTAGCGTCTCATACTGAGATAAACACAGCAGGCGGTTAAGACCTGACTACCCTACTGAAAAAACAGCACAGTCTCTGCTGGTTTATGCTAGTATAGTGCCTGTCTGGTGCTGGTTTAGCTGGTCACCCAGCATGGTCATGATGCTGGACCTGCATACCAGCATCCACAACACAACAAATGCTGGTTTTTCTAGCAGGGTAACCCGGGCCCTGCTTGGTCAGAGGGCCCTCCAAAAGTTTTAGAAGTAAATTGATTTTGGTTTCTGATCTTGAGACTCTCTGTTATCACAGAAGTTAAACAATACATGACTTTATTTTCCATTGTAAGTTCTGCTCATCTACTGTTGTTTTCTAGATTCCCCCCAAATTTGGGGCCCAAATGTTGGAATAGAATAGCATTAGGATAGTGAAGTGGGCTCATTCAGTTTAACAAATGCTGTCCAACAAGACACGGATGGACTAAGTTTTATGTGCATCACCAATCGATATTGATTAAGAAACAGGGGCATTACCTCAGAAAATTCTTATCTTTTTGTCTTAAGATCTGACAGGTCAAGATAAGATTTTTCACAAATTCGTATTACAGAAGCAAATTTTATCTTAATTTAGGAATTTTATCTAATCTTCTTATCTCAAGTTAGGAAATTTTAACTTACTCGATCAAGGTCGACAATCAACTGTCATGTCTGTTACCTAGCAACCGACCATGAGCAGAGCTGGCATGTACAGCAATGTAATAGCAAGCAAATGCAGTTTAGTTGGCGATCAAAGTGGACTAGATGTGCCGAAATGAATAATAAATTAAATAAAAAAAATAAGACTCAGTAAATGAATCAATAAATAAAAATAACTAAATAAGGTATATATTGCTTATTTTGGTTGCATATTTTCTTTTTCTGCAGTTATATTTCTCAATTTATTTTTTATTAATGCTTATGTTCATTTTTACATATTTTTCAATTAAATTGTTCGCTTTATTTATTGATTGGTTCATTAATTCATTTATTTGTTTATTATTTTATTAATTCATTTTTTTCTGTATTTCTTCCTTCATATGATAATGAGGTGGCGTGTTTTTCATGTTCAAGCTTAGCAATCAAGACCAGGAGGAGAAGAGCTGATTAAACTGTTTTTTCACTCCATAAAGAGCTGCAGTGTCACGGACAGACAAACCTGACGATGAATAACTCTCGATGGCTCCACAGGAAGTGCAAATGTCTGGGTGTGATCTTAAGTTTGCAGGAAAAGACGATGAACCACCTCCTCTAAGGTTCTGAACACTACAGGTCGACCTCTGTATCAGCAGAGGCAGCTAAATGGATCAAACTGTCTCCACAGCCTCCACAAGAAAGAGTAAATAATCCGTACCTGTATTTCCAGCCTGATCAGCCGAGAGTCTCAGATCTCTGGCGACTTGATGCCAGAGCCAGTTTATTGGGAGCGCCCTCCAGCGTCTGAAAAACCCGGAAGACATTGCAGAGTGGGAATTCTCCTCTCGAAAAGTTCTCTGCTGTTGCCTGTAAGCAGCCATTACTGCACTGTCTTGTCCTTAGTTATCGCTGACAGAGCAAGACGAAATACAGAAGGAAATACAGAAATAATAATAAAATAGGGAAATGAAAATGGAAATGAATAGTTATGGAAATAAATGAATAAAAAAAAAGAAAAAAATGTTAATAAAGAAACATTTAATAATAAAATAAATAAATAAAAAATGAAACAGACATATAAGTAAATGCAGGCGTATAAATTTATGTCAGGTTTTATATATTAATATAATCAATTCTATGTACATTTATTTAGTTTTCAATTTATCATCATTATTCTTTGCAAATCTAATGCATATGAAATTATATATATAATTTATGTACTGTTTTTTGTTTTTTTTTTTCATTTTGGCAGATCTAGTCTGTCATAGCTCTCACTGGACGTCAGAGATGAAAACTGGAGCCTGTGTTCACTCTGTGAAAATCACATTTCCCTGTTCACATTAATGAGCTTTCACATGCTGAAAAATAATGTTACTGAATGTTACTGCTCGAGATATAGCCGATCAGCCAAGAGTCCAAGTTCTGCTTCCTTACTTTAGAACTGGAGCCACAAGGCTAACAAACATTAGAGCTCAATAGTCACCCAAAAAGCCCAAATCATTTCCATAAAGAAAATAACCAAAACCTCTCTCAATCTGCTCAAACCATGTCCAGATCTTAATGTGGTTTAGGATACAGTGTAACTTATTGTGAACTGTAAACATTAGCTAATTAGATAATTAGAATTAGCTAAAAAACTCAAAAGTTACTTGGGTGACTATTGAGTTCTAGTGTTTGTTAGCAACTTCAGCCTCGCAGCCTTAAACTAAAGAAATTTGTACTCCAGACATGTCTTGGCTGATAGACTACATCTGGGGTGTTACTTGGATAAACTTTATTCACTGAACTGATTTGCTGACTATATTTTGCTGAAAAAAAAATCATGGTCAAACATTTAGAGTCAATTATTGCAATTAATTACACAATTAATTATAATAATCCCTGGAAATATTTGCAGTAGATCAGCAGATTCAGATTAAAGGTCCTAAGTATGTATAGCAGTCAGTCACTGTAGTGCAGTGGATAAACGTCTTCAATCTTTACCCTTGCAGGGTCGATGCCCAGGACATGCTTGTGCCATGCAGTGGGCTCAGCTGTTGTGTGGTGTCTGGACTGCCCAACGTTACAGAATAGACCTTCCAGTGCTGACCTTTAGAGACTGACAACGTCTCTGTTCACAGGCAGATAGCAGCTGATGAGCCGTCTGACCACGTCTTTATATAAGAAAGCTACAGAAACAGCACAGCTACAAATAAATCAAATAAAAAATGAGACTGACTCTACAGGATGTTCTGTACACATACAGTACAGTACAGTACTGTGTGAAAGTGATCATAGAAATTCATTACTTTAAACACTTATGAAAATGCTGCCTGAAGTCTGAGGCACTGTTTTATGATGCTTTAGAGAAAGTTTTGGCCTAAAACATATTTTTAAAAATCCATTAATTGCGGACAGGTACATGCAAAGAGTCAGGCAAAATAGTCTTCAAAGAAAACTGACTTTCACAGATTTTTCATCATCAACTTCACTTCTTTTGTCTGTAATTCATTTTCACTCGACCCTGCTGCTCCCCAGTGTTTCTTATAGACACTAGACTTCCATTCAAATACCACAGAAATGAGTTAATGTGTGTGTGTACATAAAAAAAACAAATAACTGATCGTTTGAATGTAAACATTCAATAAATCCAGGCGTGTAATGCTTAAAGCACTATTGAGAGTTTTTGAGTATTTCTGTTTAAGTAAGAGCTCAAACTGTCCAGACCGGTCATGTGACTTCTGACTTTAACTGCTAACTCAAAGCTTTTAAAATGAGAAGTAACAAATCTAAACTTTGAGCAACACTCAACATTCATTAATGTCCCCTTTATTTTGAATATTATTAATATGTATCTTTTTTTGTCCCACACAATTCTGAAAACTTTTTTTCCAGGACCTTTTAATTTTTAATGATATTCACACAAACAAAAATCTCAACGTATTATACTGACTACTCAGACAAATAAGAGGTGTGTTTAATGAAGGAGAGAAAATATTTCACAGTAAAGAAAATGTACACAGTTTTTTTTTATTAATGCACAAATTATAGAAACACAAATTACAGAAACATGTAAGGGGGCAGCATTTGTCCTCTGTAAAATTCTAAATTTTATACAAATACATATATATATATATATATTGCTGTTGTCGGAAGAAAACCTTGTATTTCTATTTTTCAGCCTAAAATGACTTAGAAAAAAATCTGGTTCCATTGACTTACATTGGAAGTGAAGCACATTTTTTCCTTCTCCTGTAAAGTTACCATTTCAGAGATACGAGGTTTTCTTCCGACAACAGCGATATACTTCCTTTATACACACTTAAAAAAGATGGTGCCTCAAGGGTATATAGAACCATGAACACTCAGAGAACCCTTTGCTTGATTAAAAGGTCCTTCAGATTGATGGAGAATGTGTTGTATATGGTTCTATATAGAACCGTTTTCAAAAGGTTCTGTATAATAGAACCTTCTATATCACATTCATGCACATTTTTCAATAATCTGAAGAACACTTTCATGATGCAAAGAACACTTTATTCATGGTTCTTTGAGTAGTCATGGTTCTATATAGAACCATTTTCTTTACTATAGCATTACTAACCACAGTACAGTATTATAATAACAGCACTAATTCAGTACTAGTTACAGTCTAAACCCCAGAAAAAAAAAACAAATAAGCAGAAATGAAACTAAAAATGTTATGCTTTAGTAGAAGTTGTTTTAATTTAATAATCATCATAATTTCAACATAAAGATTATAATGTATCTTGCCCAACTCAGCAAAGTCATTAACTAGAATTACAACCAAACCACTTACAAAAGAATTTAAACAAAAACAAGATAAAAAAATAACCAAAAAGTGATATAAAGTGTGCTATAATTCATTGTATTTTTCAGCCCAGCCCTTTGGTTGCTGTGTGGGATGGAATATGCAAATCCACTCATTATGTGGCAACCAGTAACCAACTGTTTATGAAGTCATCTGGAGTTTGTTTTTCCACAGTAGTGTCTGTCCATACTACCTGTCCAGGGTGTATCCTTCCTTCTGCCCGATGAGAGCTGGGATAGGTTCCAGCACCCCCTGCGACCCAGAAGGAGAAGATGTGTGTGTGTGTGTGTCTGTCCACACTGCTATTAAATATTTTTGGTCCCCAACCATGTGCGTCCTCCATGATTATCTTCCATGCAGACACGGATCACATGCCCAGGGATGTACCTCATGGGGAGGAGATTCGGTTGTGCTGGGAGGAGTTTCAGTTTTACTATGAGGGGTTTCGGTTGTACTGGGAGGAGTTTTGATTGTACTATGACGGGTTTTGGTTGTGCTGGGAGGAGTTTTGTTTGTACTTAGAGGAGTTTCAGTTGTGCTGGGAGGAGTTTTGGTTGTACTGGGAGGAGTTTCAGTTGTACTGGGAGGAGTTTCGGTTATACTGGGAGGGGATTTGGTTGTACTGGGAGGAGTTTCATTTGTACTGGGAGGACTTTTGGTTGTACTGGGAGGAGTTTCAGTTCTACAGGGAGGCATTTTGGTTGTACTGGGAGGGGTTTTGGTTGTCGAATATGTCTTGGAGAGACGGATGTGTTTACACTGCTATAATGTGGCTCAAATGGGTCTCAGTTCACCTCCTGAAGTGATTTGAGAAATTGGATTGGTAGCTGTTTTAAAAGCATTTTGGGTGCATTTAGGTGGCTTTGCCTCATCCAGATATAATCCCAATACTCAAGATGCATGAAGTAACCAGGTGTAAACAGGGTCTAAGGTAAGGAAGGTTTATAATGTATCTAAAGGCTTTTTATTGTGTTGACTGTGGTGCAGGAATAAGCCAGTATGTTAAGGGTCTCTATTTTCATGCAGGAGGACAGGTAGGATGAACAGTACTATTAAGCATGGGGTGGATATATTATGCTTTGGGTTTTTTTGTGACAGCCAATGGCACAAGAAATGTTGGGACAGAGGAAATAAATTATTCTAATATTAGCAAATTCTGGGTGATAATGTCCCACAGTCAGTGAAGAAACTAAAGAAGAAAGGAGGTTGGATAATTTAAGACACTGATCCAAAACATACATCAAAACCAACTTTAAACTACTAAGATTAAGGTTTCGGAGTGTCCCTCACTTTCCCTAGACTTTAATTTTATGAATATCTGTGGTTGGATGTCAAACATGATGTGCATGCAAGACAGCATATGAATTTGTCTGAACTAGAAGCATTTATAGAATTCGTAAATCAGGAAGAGAAAGATTGTTAGCTGGTCAGAAGAAAAGTGCAGGCTGTCACATCTGCCAAAGGGGGTCTTTCTGATTATAAGTACCGCCTGAAATGGTGGTCAAACGTATGCACATGCCACATGTTATGTTTTATTTTTTTTTCAGCATATTAAATTCAACAATTAAATAATAATTCTGTATGAAAATTCGCATAAAGCAAACTCTGGCTCCTTATAAAAACACCTCAATGATTTATAACATTAAAATGATGTTGCTTCTGATGAAAGCCATGCAGGCTGGATTGTCATGATGATTTTAATGTTATAAGTCAGTAAAGAGTTTTTATAAGGAGACAGAATAGACTGTTTGCTACTTTGTGTTCAGAGTTTTTAAGGCAGCTCCTCGCTTTGGGCTGTTTGAGACCAATATAATGTTTTCTTTGTTTTAAGGTTTGTAGAAATATGTCATATTTAAGTCTGTTCCATACAGAGGTGGTTCTAACTTTATTTTACTTTTTTCACAAAAGTAAAAAATGTGTAATTTTGCCCGGGGTGCCCAAACTGTCATTTTAAACACATTTGAACTCACTTGAATTTGGTTAAAAACTGACGTCCTGCACTGAGTTCTCAATTTGAAAAAGCAAATTATTTCATCAAATATAAGTTATATTTAATTTTTGCGCTATTCTCGTCCACTGCAGTCCAGACATGATTTTGAAGTAAAGGTTTTACATGTTGATTTCTTTCAGTTCACTGATTATTGTTTCTTGTTATATTTCTGGTTGTGCTGATTGTGTAGAACATATGAAAAAGGTCCAGTACTGAGATTTCTTTATCTTCAATGATTTCTGGATGGCTGAACTTTAAACTCTTCCAATGGTCTTGTTGACAGATTAAATCCCACATCAAAAGGCGATTTCTCTCCCACCAGATCCCATCAGTGTGTCTGTTGATGAAGGGCAGAATTAGAGTCTTACAGAATGGGGATAGTTACCTGTATCAGGATGTATCCATAGGCTCTTCATCTGTGGTGCCTTTATCCTCTGACTTTATATCCAAGATACGTTGGAATGTTTTGGTATCAAGTCCTGAGATCAGCGTCTTACTCTGATTTCTCTGTCTTAAAGCCTCCGATATGTTGGGTTGTGACTGAATGTACTGAGAAACATCTTTTCTGCCTCTCTCTGCTGATTGTGTGATGATGCACTCAAAAGTGGGTTCCGGAGGATAAGCGTATTCAATGATGCTCCTTGTTTCACCTGCATGTCCTTTGTAAGAGTAGCCACCACTGTGAATGCCATTTAGGCTGCATAAAGAATCAAAGACTGGGGAACCAGATGAACCATGGAAGAAACAGGTGTTGTATGTTATCCTAGAACTATCAAATGTCCACCTCTCTTCTAGACATTTCTTTTGCATGAAAGGCTTTAACTGCTCATTCTTGATGATGTGTGTCGTCACAGACTTGTATTGGTTCTGAGGTTCCACAATGAAAGTTGGATCCATTTTTTTGTCTCCTCCATCAGGGTGCCCAATGATGCAGATTCCACCCCTAGGAGCGGAAGGCCTGTACTTGGTGAGCAAACCATCAGGAAGCTGCCACTCTTTACTGTCCTCTAGCTCCAGCAGAGCAAAGTCCAAATGGTCAGCTGGACTGTACTTAAAAGCAACAAGTTCATTCTTTGCTGTCGTAGTGTGTGGAGTCTTCTTGCCATCTTTCCACTCTTCAAATTCTGCAGTTAAAGTGATGCCGTCATGCAACTTCCTCCCACTGGATTCAACAGCAGCCATGACTACGTGAGCATTAGTGAGGATGAATGACTGTCTGGGTTTTGGTAGAGTTGAATCTGGAGTGTTTGGAGCTTGAATATGAAACAGAATGAACCCGGTCCCGCATGCTTTGGTGTTTACCCGAATCATGCAGACACTGTCAGCAAGCATCATGAGAGTTTTTACGGTGTGCACCTCAGTGCAACTCCGTGCGCTCTTATCATATTCCTCTCTGAAAATATTCCAAATATCATTTTGTTTCTTCAGCTGTTTTGACACTTGCTGGAACTGTGAACGTACTCTTGTAACTTCTTCTAACAGTTTTTCCAAATAAAGCTGTTCTTGTTCTGTTTCTGGGATGGTTATGTTCAGCTTATTTCTAATTGTTTTAATCGCGTTCTTTGCATTGTCATTGCTGGCACTTTCCTGTGAATCTTTCATATCCACAGCTGCTTTTTCAGTGCCTGATGGTTTCTGTGCTTGGTCTTGGTTTTCCTGTGGAATGTCCTCAGATTCTCTTTCTTCAGATTTGATAGATTTCGAGACATTTTGTACATTACTATCAGTATTTGATGCCTGGCCGATGGGGCCTGCATGACTGCGGTTAATTTTAAAATGCCTTTCATCAAGATTGTCAACTAAAGAGGTGATTCCAACAGTATGCCCTCTATTTATATCAGTTAGATTGCAGTGCTTTTGAACGACATCTGCAAATCTTCCATCCCTCTCCAGTGCCTCGCTCAGTGTTTCTCCTTTGTAGGCGTATACACAAACATCAAACACATCCTTTGGTATATTTGTATTCTTCATGATCGTTCTTGTGATATTTCTTCCTCCTTGGGTTTGAATATTGAAAGTGACCAGGTCTCCAGATTTGACTGTTTGCGGCGAAGCGCCGGTGTCATCATCACCCTGCTTTGTTATGTACTGTATTGTGAGTCTCTCTTCATCTGTGAGCAACTGGCATGGGAAATGAGGACTCACAGCCGCTCTAGGAGGCACCCCTCTTTGGATCAGAATGTCTTTTGTTTTTTGCTCTTTATTTTTTCCTGTTTGTTTTGGCTGCATTTCTTTTTGGTGAATTGTCTGGAAATTTGAATCTGTCTTAAGTGCTTCCAGTACTGTGCATGGAGTCCTGCAAGATATTTCATAGTCCTTGTTATCGATGCAGTAATTGAAAGTTTTTGTGCTCTGAAGGGGAAGAAAATGAGAAAATGTTTAGAATTTATGTCCAGATTTGTACATACAGTCCTGTATCAATACAATCTGCTTTATCGATACAGAAGGCTAATTTGACTAATTAGCCTCTTCTGTTTATATTCTATAATGTATTATAGCGAGACAGTGAATAATAATGAGGTAAAGATTAAACAAAATGCTTCTTTTTTTAAGCTAAATAGATTGGCATGCAGGCCAGTGACAGAGGCTGCTGAACTCAGAGGAGAAACTGACATCAGTACCTGAACTGGATGGCAACACTCTATTAAATGTCTATGGGCAGTTTCTTCTTCATAGGCAGAATAGAGTGGGGAGGTATCGCCACAGTATTGTCAGGGTATTGACACTTGTACAGAGGTGGAAAGAGCACTGAAAATCCTTACTTAAGTAAGCAAACTGCTGTTGTAGTGATAATTTACTTGAGTAAATGTAAAAGTATTAATAAAGGAATTTACTAAGTAGTATTTAAGTAGTTTATTGGCCATCCTGACCTCCCTGGGTTCCTAAGCAAAATTCTGCAAGGGAGTCCCACTACCTGACCCATGAGCCATGTAAAACATTTGCTCCCACTACAATCCTCCCTCCTTTAAAACAGCTAATTGTCGGTCTACAATAAGTAGACCTGTAAAGAACAGAATGAGGTTCAAACAAACAATATTTAAATGAGATGATACTATTATTAACTTTATCAGCTGCATCAGGCCCATTCAAACTGTCTGCCCCAGATTTCCTTTTGTACATTTTAAATATAAAATACTATTTATACTATGGCTTGGTGGTTATTATTTCAAAACCTCGTATCTCCAAAATTATGACTTTACAGGAGAAGGAAAAAACATACTTTACTTTTAATGTAAGTCATTGGAACCAGATTTTTTGGGTTGTTTCTTTTGGTCCATTCATCATGAAACTTATACATAATGCGAAGAGCAACAGGCATTTTCAAATTATATCAAAAACTGACAAATGACAAAAATGGAGATGTGCATCCATATTGCACAGTATGCCCAGCTAATCAGCTTTTAAATTCAATATTTAATCAATAGCCAATGTCAACCCATTGCTTTCCCTTTTGCATTACTCAGAGCTGTAACTAAACCTTGACTTGGAGACTAGATAATCATTGTCTTGTTTTAAATGATGAGCTCCAATGAAGAGTGTGCCATCGCACCCTTATACTGAGTGGACTGTACTGGACTCCACAGAGGCCGCTGCTGCAAAGTACAAGTTTCATTTCGTGCATGCGCATATGAGCACGTGTACTCGCTACACAGGTATCTTTCCGAGCTGCAGTGTGTAAACAACGGCATTAGCATTTATCAAATGTAATATATAGCTGTATTTTCTGTTATTTGTTAACATCAAACTTTTAGAGAACACAAGTTTACCTAACTGCTGTTCCTGCAATTCACTCTTAAGACCAGATGGATAGTTCTGCGAGGGGGTGGCGGGGCCCTTGTGTAATTTGTGGTGCAGCGTGCGTAGTGAGTGTTTAGGACTGACCAGCTCTGTTTTTTGGAAAACTTCTCGAGTAATTAAGTTTTTTATATATCTGCGAATATTTCTGAGCTTATCAAAACTAATCACAATATGCTCTACTGGAACAGGTTTAAACATCCTGCTGTGAACTGTTTTAGGAACAAGATTTACATTAAACTATATGTATTTCATAGTGAGACTATTAAACTCCCAACTGTTTCAAGCAAAGTACTTTAGAATTCCTGCAAGGCTGTGCAGAGTTCCTTACTGTTTAAGTAAATCTATTATTTTTGCCTTTTAAAGAATGTGGATAAAATGGGTAGATTACTCAGTTAATAACATAATTATTTTAGTTACAGCCCTGCTGCCCATCTGCTCCCTGAACCTTAGCTTAAATTAACTCATAGGTTAAATTAACTCATACAGCCTTCAAACTGTAAACATTCACTGATACCCATATAGTATATTTCTATCATTAAAATCATAGTGTGTGAATGACTAATTAAAGTCATACTCCTCCACCTGCAGTCTGATCAGATTACTGTTTAGGCCACCAAGTCTTAAAATCAGTTGAAAGTAAAAATTCCATTCATAATCGCCATGGGGAATAAAGTTTTAGCCATACAACTTTTACTGCCCAATGTAGACTTACCAATTACTATGAGACACCTTGGCCATTTTCATTCATTTAAATAAAATTCCTTGTAAAAAATACACATATTATATATATATATATATATATATATATGTGTGTGTGTGTGTGTGTGTGTGTGTGTGTGTGTGTGTGTGTGGGTCTTATCAAAACTAATCACAATATGCTCTACTGGAACAGGTTTAAACATCCTGTAGTGGATGTTTACTGTAAGTAATTGTATACATTAAAATATTTATATTATAGCAATTAAAGGTCTTCATAGCAGGTAATCAATAATTATGCTATTTTCTTTCTAATTAAGGCCTGCTCTATGGCTGCTTAAAACAGTTTGCTTTGAACACACACTGTAATTCAGTTTCCAGTTCACTAGTTCAGTCTGAGAAAATACCAAGTCATACTGTCAGAAAAAAACAGAGAAATGTAGCACAGTATTATAACTGCTTCTTTGTTTGAACTCAGACATTCCACATAAATAGGACGTCCGCCATAATGGCATGGTAGAAAGGCAACTCCTGAGGACTTACCGAAGACGAGGACGCCATTTCTGTTGTTTTTGTCCTGCACAAAATAAGACATCACAATCAAATTGAGGGATCTTTTCTTGATAATGTGAATTTGTTCAGGTGTATTAAAGTAATAGATGATTGAATCATAATCATATTATACTGTATGGCTCTCTCTGTGTATGCAGCTCTCTTTGTGTGTGTCTGTGTGATTCTGAGTATGTTACAAATTGTACTGGTGAGCACCAAGTGGGACTACGCAGAGAGACTCAGTTGTAACCACATATTATTAAGAGTGTCTTTGCAAAATTAAAGTAATAAATAAAGTAAATAAAGTTCAGAGGGCTAGGCCTGATAGTAGCCTTGGCCTGTGATTATTTTTTTTAAATAGTTACTAATAGTTACTTCTTTGTTTGGAAATAATGGAAGAAATTTGGGTCATACTTTATTTGGATGGTCCCCTATAGATGATCTACAGCTACGTAAATCATTACCAAACTTTCTGGTGATCCTCAGTTGATTATCAACAACATTGTGGTTAGGGTTAGGGTTAGGAGTAGATGTAGGTTTTGCCTTAAGGTTTAGGTTAGGTTTAGGTTAGGTTTAGGGATAGATTTAATAAACTCTTTCACACTGAATTTCAAGTTCAGTTGAATTTAATGGATATTTAGTTGAATGTTATTGAAAGGCAGACTGAGCATTTACAAAGCATCTATAGTGAACTATCTAAGTTACATTCAACTTCAAGTTCAGTGGCATTTAATGACTATTCAGTTGGATATTACTTCAATATATGCTGAACATTTACAAAGAATCTACAGTGGACCATCCAAATAAAGTGTTACCGAAATTTGATAAGAAAATAATGGCACCTATAGTCATGTGAAGAATAATTCAAGTAACACTGTAGTCATAATAAAAGGATTGGAAATGTCCCTGACAGATCAAGCGGCTAATGTCTCTCTGGTATGCTCCTTTTTTCTTACTAATAAGCAGTGTCAAACTAGAAAAGCTGAAATCTTACCTTTGTATATTTGTACCAAAACTCCAGGAAGAAACCTACGCCAAGACCCCCAGTAACCTCAAATGAGACCTGAATTTCTGGTTACTGAAACCAGCTCAGGAATAGACACACCTCACATCTCAGATGATTGGTCCATGTGTAATACAGGGACAGGTGATCTATTAGGATTGGTCCATGTGTCACAGCAGGTTCATTTTTCTGACCCACTTCTAGCTTTCACTTTCTATTTCTTACACTTCTCCTCCCTCATTCATTTTTTTCCGATACATAACTGCAGTTTGGATTCCATCATTACTAAGAGGCTCTTTGTTCCTAAACCTGACAGTCAGTTAATCGCTGCTCCCTCAGGGACACACAAAGCACATGAAAATCTTTTTAAAAGTCAGAGTTTTGCCGTGTGAATAGTGCCAGAATCTGAGAAGTGTTCCTTATAATGCAACATTAGGAAGAGGGTAAAAGCCCCAAATAAGCCCACTTAACTCTGAGTACATATATTTTTACATTTTTAGTGATTGTCTTATTATGAAATAAAAAATTCATCTCCCCTTTAATATAAATTTTAAATGATTTGTTTAAAAAAAATAAACAGAAAAGTCCCTTAAACATCACGTTTCATTACTGAAAAAATATAAATTACAATAATTAATAAGTTTATGAACAACAGGAACAACCAAGAAGGACTAATGAACAATTGTACTGGGAACCATTATTAATAAACATTTTCAACATTTTATGCCTTCAACCACGTTGATCTGCTTTACTGAACATGTTGTGCGTGTGTATAAGTTGTGCTTAGAGTTTTGAAGAGCAAAGCAAACATGAAAAGATGCTGTAAAGATCCTTCATATTTTGTGAAGACTGTAAGAAGATGGTGTCGTACCTTCACTACAGCTCCTAATATGATATCAGCCCACCACAATGAGGGTTGGGCAGTGTGCTTTGAAAAAGTAGTGATGGCTGAATACTGAATACACTAAATGTGTTCAGTAATGTATTCTGTTACAATACGTAAAAACATAACATATTCAGAATACAGTAGGAATACATGTAACATGGACACTGATGAGGAACATGGGGAAAACTACTGTTGTAATTTGTATTTAATTCACACTGTTTCTCGCGGTTACTGTTTGGCAGTTTTCTCAACATTATTTTGGCTCTGATTGCCTGCTTTGGTTCAGTGCTGCTCCCATAATCCCTCTGTCGTCTCATAAAACAAGCAACAATTTGCATTATCCTAACAACACCATCTTGCAAACAACTATGAACACATATGATTTTCAGTTAATAACATGTATCTAACTTGCCCCAGGAGCCTTGAGTATGAGTCCAGTACAACACTGATAAGCGACTTACTCGTAAAGTTCTATCATCTTTCAAGAAAAGTTTAGTAATGCTGAGATTGACAGCTGCTCATCACATTGGTTTATCAGTCTACTCAGGCTTCAGCAGGAACTTCACGCACTGTGCGCTGATTTTAAAATAAGTGAATAAACAAGCATTGATGTGTTTCTTTAAAAGATGGTATATATTTATCACATTTAGTCGGTAAGTATTCTAAAAGTTTTCTCCTATAAAAAATAACTGTGTACTGTGGACTGAATACAGATACCTAATTTCTGTATTCTGGATAAATATTCCCAATACTTGTATTCCGATACATCCCTGACCACAATGCATTTGAGGAGCTGTCATGCTAAATTGTAGCTGACTATGCTTCAAGCAAACGTCAGAAGGTCAAGGAGTTCTTCAGCTGCTCTTTAAAGTCAGACTGAGGTTCATCAGTCAAGTCACAGCCACATTAAAACCAGACGACACGCTTTGAATTTGAAGACATTCTTATTTAAAAACAATGTCTGAAATAAAACCGAAAGCAAAGTAGGAATGAAATAAAGTGTAAATAGAGCTACTAAGTGGCTTTAGGAAGAAGCTCACACAAACCAGCCAAAGAGCGAAATGTGGAATGTACGATTGCGGTTCACCTGGATTTTGGTTTGTGTCACAAACATACAGTCAAATTCCCCAGACATGGATGAAGCCTAATCCTGTACTAAAATGTGACGCCAATGATGGTCCCACTGTTAGACTAGACTTAAAGGAGAATTCTACAATTCTTCAAAATTTCTGTGTAATTAAATAGTTAAGATGTAAAGTCACTCAGAGTGGTTCTATAGAAACTTACACAGCCAGAATCGTTCAGTACAGAGCCCTGATGATGACATCCTGTATAAATAAAATTAATGCATGGCCACACCTTATTAACGCATAGAAATTAGATCCTAATGCGTGGCCTCGACTTAGTAAGGCGTGGGAATGAGATGATTAAGTCGTGGCCTTGACTTAGTAAGCCGTGATCTCGTTCCCATGCCTTACTAAGTCGTGGCCACGACTTAATCATCTCATTCCCATGCCTTACTAAGTCGTGGCCACGCATTATTTTTATTTATACAGGATGTCACCAGCGGGGCTCTGTAGTTTTCCCTAGTTCATGTATCTTTTTCAAGCCTGGACAATGAAAAGGGCCAATGTCCTGATGTTAGTGTACTGGTTTACTCACATTGTAAGACTGCAGCTCCTATGTTGACCTATGGCAAAAAAATGTGAAGTACCCCCTAAACACACACACCCGCGCGTGCGCGTTTATTAAAATGTAAATAAAGAGAGAAATAGATTAAGATAGTGTTATATATTACCTTAATCTCCTCTTTTTTCTCTTAATTTATATTTATAGTTCTCCTGTCTTTATATTTATTTATTTACTTATTTTTTTTATTTTATTTTGTGTTGTTCAGCCCTGTCAACACGTGAATATCATGATCAATTTCTATCCATCATCGGCGTTAAACAACAAAATGCAACCGTAATTCAGCATTGAATCAGTGTTCTTCTGCTATCTGGGGAGTACATGGAGGAGGATCTCTGGTGGATACGCGCTCTCGGAGACCTGTTTCTCCAACGTGAGGCGATGTCTGCCTGTAAAAACGCAGATGGGGCTAAAATGATCAGAGCAGCGCTGAGTTCACTGAGAAACAGTATATAATTCAGTCTGTAAAGATGGGGAAGAAAAACACAGAGCCGATTCGGACAGAAATAAAATTACAGGAGCACCTGAAAGAAGAAAATCACCCCATGACCCCATGTAAATTTGATCCTGTAAGTCCGAATTGGGTTTACATTGTGAATGGAACTCCATGGGATTTTGATAAGTTGCCAAAAGGTAGTTTTAATACCATCTGACAACCTTACTGAATATTGAGGTTGTGACAACGTTGTAACAATCTTGTTCAGACAACGTAAACGGCACCACCTTTTGACAACATTGTGACAATGTTGTAAGAAAGTAGACAACGTTGTGACAATGTTGTGTATTTTCTGGGAAAAAGCTACAGTTCCACTTTTTTCCTACCAACATCTTACGTCTCAGAATAGAACACGATGAATTTCCTCCATTTCGGTGTTTTACCGACGTCTCACCTACGTATGTGTGCTTTCTGGGACCAATCAGTCCCCTGTAGCAGTAATGCTAACCAATCAGTCCCCTGTAGCAGTAATGCTAACCACTCAGTACCATGTAGCTGTAATTCTAACCAATCAGCACTCAGTATCATTAGGCTGAATGAATAACTGACTCTAAATGTAGGTATTGTGATATAAACTGAGTCTGTTCTACAGTTTCTCATTAGGCTGAATAAACCAGCTGGACAGGTTTCTCCCTTTTAGCCCTTCTTTTCCAACCAAAACTTAACGACAAAACACGAGCAATATGTGCAGAATCTGAACTCAACGAGTAAAACTGAATAAAAAATAAACTACAAGTGACAGAATGGTGATTTATTTTTATTATTTCACATAAATCATTAGACCTGGAGCTCTTTGAGGTTCCCCACTGCAGTGCTGCGAGCAGTGGGCGGACGCAGGGGTTTCTCATAAAGTGGACAGGGCCTGTATCAGCAAACGGTACAGAGACTCGGCTCCTTGGATGAAAATGAATCACCGGATGTTCCATTCATTGATCCGAACAGTTCGTTCGTACGAACCGAATCAGTTAAATGAACTGAACTCTCCCAGCGCTCTTAGTGCAGGAAGCCATCTAGCGTTTGACCGAGGAACTGCACCGGATCTCTTTCGAGAAACTGAGTTTTATTCAGTTCTTATTATTATTTAAATTTGCGACCTTGTGTTTACATTTACGAGCTGAACGCTTTTCTAGTGGGTTTTATTATTTTATTTTAAAACCGTTGGCACAAAATTAACTCCACGCACGGGCCTACAGCAGGACCCCATCGTGTACTGGCTGGAATTACTCATGGAATTTTTTTCGAGTCACGTTATATATTGATGACGTCATCGATGGGATTGTGCCGTCATTGTGTGACGTCATAGTGCCGCCCTGAAAAACTATATATATGTGGGTGTAAAACCTCCACTTTCCACTATTGCACTTCAGAAGTGCGCCGTGTGGTTCAGATCTCTGTGAGTACTGAAAGCAATTTGTTCATTGATTTACTGGAACCAGTTTATCGAACGGTTTTCAGTGCAGTGTCCTGAAAAATGGACAGTTCTATTAAAGACCTAAAAGCTGCTGTTGGTGACGCACTACAGAACACAGCTCATGTGTACAGTCAAGCCCTGGATAAACTGGAGAAAGTCCAGGAAGAAGTGTCCCAAGTGAGAGAGCAGCTCGAGACCAATCAAATTGTGGAGATAGAGCAGAACATGACTGTGCAACACTACCTGCTGGTACTGCTGGAGGAGCTGACAGCAGCGCAGGGAAAGAAGCACGAGGAGACAGGACTGGGAGCAGGAGACGACCTCCTGACAAACTACCAGGACCTGGAGAGAGAAAACAGTCAGCTGAAAGACAGACTGTTCAGGATGGAGATGGAGATGAAGGAGGAACGAGAGAGGTGGAAAGCAGAAAAGCAGGAGGTAATGAGGAGATCAGAGGAACACCTGGAGGAAATGTCCATCAACAGGGCCATGATGGAGCAACAGGTGAGGGATGTGGAGAGTGAAAACCTCCAGCTGAAAAAGAGACTCTCCAGGATGGAGATGGAGATGAAGGAGGAACGAGAGAGGTGGGTAACAGAAAAGGAGGAGATGATGAAGATAACAAAGGAGTTCATGCTGTTAATCTGCAGCTCCTTGGCCTCGATGGGGCAGAATGTGAGGGATGTAGAGAGAGAAAGGGACGATAGAATAGAAAAGAGAGGAGATGAGAAAGAACTGAAAAAAAGGAAGAAGGAGCAGAAAAAGAAGGATAAGGAGCTGAAAAAGCAGATGAAGGAGGAGGAGAAGAGGGTGAGGAATTTGGAGCGTGAAAGGGAGAAAGAAAGGAAAGTAGAGGAGAAAGAAAGGAAGAAGGAGCAGAAAAAGAAGGATGAGGAGCTGAAAAAGCAGATGAAGGAGCTGCAGGAGGAAAGGAGCTCAGGAAAGAGGAGCTTCTGGAGAAGACTGTGGAGAAGGAACTAAAAGAGACCCTGAAAGAAAGGAGGAGTGAGTGAAGGAGTGAGTGAATGAGATTTCTCCCTGAAATGAGCGAATAAAAACGTATCTAGAACCATTGAGTTGTGTTTGAGTGGTTTCTGTTTCCACTGTACTCCGAAATACACACATCACCATGTGTGCACTGTGTCTGATTAATACTAAGAATAATTATTATAATAATAATCAATTAATGTTGCATTTAAAACATTGAGTTTAATCCAACATTTCCGCACAAATTCATGTGTACAGAGGTTAATAAACTACGTCTCCCATAATTCTCCCTAAAGGCCTCAACACTGACAACTATGATTTTAATTTTTCATTTAGAGCACAACTTTGAATAAATGAGTGGGAAATTTAATTGCAAACACACACCAATCAGGCATAACATTGTGACCACCTCCTTGTTTCTATGCTCATTGTCCATTTTATCAGCTCCACTTACTATATAGGTGCACTTTGCAGTTCTACAGTTACAGACTGTAGTCCATCTGTTTCTCTGCATACTTTGTTAGCCCCCTTTTACCATGTTCTTCAGTGGTCAGGACCCCCATGGACCCTCACAGAGCAGGTACTATTTGGGTGGTGGGTCTCAGCACTGCAGTAACACTGATGTGGTAGTAGTGTGTTAGTGTGTGTTGTGCTGGTACGAGTGGATCAGACACAGCAGTGCTGCTGGAGTTTTTAAACACTGTGTCCACTCACTGTCCACTCTATTAGGCGCTCCTACCTTGTCGGTCCACCTTGTAGATGTAAAGTCAGAGACAACTGCTGCACAGTTTGTGTTGGTCATCCTCTAGTCCTTCATCAGTGGTCACAGGACGCTTTTGGCTGTGTGTTTTTGGTTGGTGGACTATTCTCAGTCCAGCAGTGACACTGAGGTGTTTAAAAATTCCAGCTGCACTGCTGTGTCTGATCCACTCAGACCAGCACAACACACACTAACACACCACCACCACGTTCTATGATTATCTACAGTATATAATATAATATGCTTTTCTGTGCACATGAAGATCATCACTAAAGAACTCTGACCAACTTCATGTCTTTTTATGGAGGGAGCACAAATAGTCCTGCTTAACTGCTTAATTTAATGCAGTACAGTATGTGAAATGCAGAATACAAATGGTTGATAATTTTATTTTAAATGATTTAAATATTATTTAAAAATGCACTATATATTTTTTATTTTATTGTGGTGATATTTAGTTGTTCTACCTTTTGGTCACCTACCTATTGTTACCTGAGGTAGCAATATGAGAATTGCCACATCAGCCCTGTAAAATTTCTAGACAATTGATCAGTGGCTTCATTTATTAACCTCAGAGGAGTGTATTGGTAGCTATGCTCCCAGTGCAGTCTAAGGTACATAGATGTTAGTTTAGTCAATGGATTTCTGGACATTGTGTGTCCAGGGCTTTAATTAATTTTTTTCCTGGACATGCAACTGAAAACTTGGGCAGTTCAGGGAAATCCATGGACAGCTAAAATGACCAGCCATTTATTTGACAGCTTAATTGATCAGACGTACATCATTCCAGGCCATCCAATCTGCACTCATTTCTCCTCAGTTTTGATGAACAATAATGTGACAATTAATGGCCCAATCTCTGAAAGGAAAACTGTAACTGGGAGTAATGCAACAACACTTACAAACAAAAAGAAACATTAAACATTGAAACCACACATTTTACTTTTTCAACTTACTTTTAATAAATCTGAACGTCCAGGAAGACAGTAGTATTGCAAGGACCGAAGTGGACAGGGAAGCCCCCCTGGCTTTGGTGCTGAGGGTGTGAAAGCCCACAGAGGGTGGCCAATCCCTTTTTGTTCTATACTGAAAAATGGAATAAGCACATGGCTCTGGGGTCTTTGTGTCCTGGCGCACTGAAAGGCCAAAAAAATGATCTTCAGGGCAATATGAAGGAAATTCAGGTTGCCTCAGCCTTGTCAGAGATCTGTTTACTGAAACCTTCAGTGTTACTTGCCATAACGTCACCACACTCACAGAGTCCTTTAGCTTTGAAAAGACAACAACAACAACAACAATACACAAATACAACACAGTAAAAACTAACATTGTTTCGTCTTGACAATTTTAGCCCTAAGTTCTCTCTTAACAATGATCTCACTCTAGAACATTATGCAAGAAATTGTTCTACAGCAAAATAAACTCACATAACAATCGTTACATCTTAATGACGGATCTTTTCCAGTAAAGATACTTGTTTAATATTCATGCAACAACTAGACGTGACTGTGTTCACACTACTATCTTTAGTTTCGAAAATACAAAAATACAGGTCACAACAATTCACTAATCAAGGGTAAAGAAAACAAAACATCACATCAAGAATATAAAGTAAAATATGTATTTTAAACATGTAAGTAAAATATATCTTTTCATCATGTAAGTCTTCATAGAGATATGTTTGTCATGGAGGGCTGGTAGGCAAAATGCAACCCAAAGGTCCTGCAATGTGATAGTTGCCAATCAATTACAAGTAAAAACAGTTTTCTCTTTAACAATACAATAGAAAACTCTCTAAAATATCCAGACCTATAATGCACATTTTTTAAAATTTCCCTCATGGATTCAGTCATTAGCTCTTGTAATTATTCAGGAAGCACTGATACGGGAATTTTTGGGCTGATACTGATATTCAATATTATTTATGTACATATCTGCCGAGGTATATGCATTTACCAAACTTAGAAATTGCGATTAAATCTCTTGAATTAGCCTTATGAAGATATGCAAGATGTTTTAGATGCGAATCGGCTTGAAATTCATTCTTTTACTCACATTTAGCAAGCTAAAGATTCTCCACAAGGGGGCACAATTTCTAATAAAACAGCTTTTGGTGTGTCACATCAGTGATATTGTATGTCCTTCTTTATTCAGAGTAAAATTCATTAAATTTAATGCCAACAACACGTTCCAAAAAGGTTGCGATGGCTTCATTTTCAGATTCTCAGCCAGATACTTTGAGGCTTTGAGGAGCCCATGGCTAGTAAGTGTTAGCACAAGGTTTGAAGAGTCAGAGAATTTGTTATACTTGACAATTGCCATCAGCTGACAGTTCTTGACCTTCCTAACTAGTCCCAATGAGTCAATAAAACTGTAACGAGTTAATTACGCTCTTAGCCTTTACAACTTTTTGCAAACTTTATTATGCTACACTTACTTTTTTTTACTTTTTTCTATTTTTAAGTTCAAATATTAAGTAACTGTACATCAGCATTTGCAGACAAATGTCATGTTTTAAGTTTACACCCCACTTCCACTTCAGTGTCACTGCAGTGCTGAGACCTGACCATTGAAGAACAGGGTAAAAGAGGGTAGCAAAGCATGCAGGGAAACAGATGGACTACAGTCTGTAATTGTAGAACTACAAAGTCCAGCTTTGTGGTAAGTGGCGCTGATACAATGGACAATCAGTGTTGATACAAAGAGGGCGTTTAATGTTATGGCTTATTGGTGTGTATGGTGTGTTCAAAATGTTTTGATACTATACTGCTATTCACCGATGCTGTGCTTATAAAGTCGCAAAATGATGGCTTCACAAACGTTTCAGCTCCATTTTTAACTGAGGCGAAATAAACGGCGACTCTAAATGTTTTGAATGCAACCAGCAGATGGCGCAGGTCTGCGCTCTCCCTCAGAGGCCAAGAGACCTTGGAGGTGCTAGATTTAAACATGTCTGTGGGTTTAAAAGCATAGTATAACTTGCTCGTCCTACGTGGTTGAATCTAGATCATAATAAAAGCACAATACAACTCGGCGACAAGTTAAATTAATAAATAATCAGATCATCTTCTCGGTCATGTTGGTCGAACAGCTGTAAACAAAACCACCCACTCTGATTGGTCCTCGTCTGTGAGTAAGGCAGCCCCCTAGCGGACTGGCATGCGCATTGAACAGATGACGTTTTGTGTTACTTTTTTATATAAAATTAAATTGTGAAAGCTATATTATTATTATTATTATTGTTGTTGTTTATGATTATTATAATTCTTCAGCCTATGATAAGGACGTTAACGCTGCAAAGACGGTACAGGAAAGTTAGATTAAGCTGAACTTTTGAATCAATTCGACCGATTCATTGAAAATAACCGGTTCAAACGAACGACTCATTCACGAATCAGACATCACTAGCTTGACAGAAGGCGGCAGAGTCCCTTTCCCCTGTAGCCTACATTGTTCGTTAGAGCTACGTGTTTTAGTGTTTATATGTAGTGTTTTGGTGCCTTTTTCTCCTCTGGTTTTGTGTATTTCTATCTTTATTTATCCTGGAAAGACCAACGGAAGGTATGTTATTATTACCCTCGTATTTTATTAACAGTGTTCGTTTCTCGACATTGTCGATATCGCCCGGACTGATGCAGCAGCGCCAGATCACTGTCGGTTTTATTAGATGACCAGATGCTTTTATGAACGGACAGACAAGACAGACCTTCCATTTCAACAGATAAACCCACACTGACTGCGATCTTTACTGTCCTGCTGATTAAAAAGCTGAAAAAGAAGCAAACCGTGGCGAATCCTGTTAGCTAGCATGGCTAGCATAGCACTCTAGAGGATGCTGTGTGGTGCTAATGGGTGTCACACAGCACTCTGAGCGTTCTGTTACTGTGAGGTGCTGTTTTTCTGTTTGAGGTGTTTACAGCAGTAAACAGATCCAGATCAGCGCTTATGCGATCCACAGAAAAGCATCCTGAGTCTTAAAACTGGACAGAAATGTTAGCGAAATGTTTTTTTCTTTTCAGTAAATGTTTTAGCTTTGGGCTTTGCTAAATGTTAGCTAGAGAGAGAAGATCATCTATTGTGTACATTGGGGAAAGGGGAATTCCACCAATTTTTCAAAAATAAAAAACTGAATAATTCAGTCCTTGAGGTGTAAACAAAGTCATTCAGAGTGGTTTGATATGAAAAGGTTCAATGTAGAGAAACTTACTGACTCAGATTTCTTTACAGTGGTGGTGATAGGAACCAGGGGTCACGATGACTGCAACACAAATATAGCCATTTATTTACTATCCAAAACCACCAGTGAACCCACATATGCCTTCTGAGTCTTTATATGTAATGTGATTGTGATAAAATAGGCATACATTTAAAAAAATAAGTTTTCTTTAGGGACTGTTTTGCTGTACAACACTTTGCGGGTGACCCTCTGCTGTGAATGGATGAAGGTCAATGGATTAAAATGCATTTTAAGTCAAAACCTGATCATAAAACAATGTGTCAGAGATCAGGCAGCGAATTCATAACCATGTCATGTAATAACTTTCTATGAGGGAGCTTTCAGAGGCAGTAAACTCTTCTAATGTGTGGTTTCTATCACCGTCACTGTGAACAATTCTGACTGAGTTTCTCTGAAATGGAGCTTTTCACACCAAACCACTCTGAATGATTGTTTACATCTCAACCTTTTAATTATACAGAATTTTTTGAAAAATTGGTGGAATTCCCCTTTAACTGCCTTTTCCCCCTCAAGTTCAGATAATAAAGCACCATCAATGCCAACCACAAAGGTGGTGTAGCATTAACTAGCATGCAGCAGCTTCTAGTCTGTTCCCTTATTAATACATACGTTCTAGAATTTTTTTTGTAGCTGGCATTTTATTATGAGAAGATGAGGCCTGTAAACCATTTGAGTGAGTAGAGAATGATATTTGCTGTTCAGTTAAAGGGACATTCCAAGCTAATACCAGCATTTAATATTATTTGTTGTATTTTGCAATAGTGTGTTACGCAGCATTGCATCCTTCAGCCTCATCAGTTTCACAGAATTCATGATTTTATATCCTTTTTGTGTTTTCGTGCATCAATGTTCCCTCACTGCAATACGCAGTGCATTGTGCAAACACATCATGCAACCATTAGGAATCCCCCCACAGCAATAAAGAAATCCACTGATGTACAGCTTTTGTAGAGGCTTATAATTAGTGAGATGATATTCAGCTTCTTCTATAACATTTGATATCCGTCTTCTGTATTTGCCAGAAAGCAGGAAAAATTCAAACAGCCTGCAATTGTAGTTCTTCAGTGGGTTTTCATAGTCTTTATGCCAGAAAATACCACCCTAGAGACTGCAGACACCGTAGGAGACAAAAAGGAATGTTCACAGACGTAGTGATTGTTAATTTTTTCATTTTTGCCAAAGCGGCACTTGCAAATTATTCTTTGGGTTACCAAACATGGATTTTATTGGTAGTGACCATTTTCACACAAAAATGTATGCCAAATGTAAGATCATGAACTCTGTCTCTCTCTCTCTCTCTCTCTCTCTCTCTCTCTCTCTCTCTCTCTATATATATATATATATATATATATATATATACATATATAGTCAGAACAAAACCCTGTATCTCCAAAATGAGAACTTTTCAGGAGAAGGAAAAACATACTCTACTTTTTAATGTAGATCAATGGAACCAGACATTTTTCCGAGTCATCCTGGGTCATTTCTGTTGGTCCATCCATCATGAAATTTACGTACAATGTATAGGACAATGAATACTTTCAAATTATGTCGAAAACTGAAAAATGACAAAAACTGAGATATGAGGTAATATATATATAACTTTAAAAAAGGCAGTTGCCTTTATCTTGTGTCAAAATTTCATGATGAATGGACCAAGAGAAATTATGCAAAATTACTTGGAAAAACATATTTCTCGTTTTACTCCCATTTAAAGTTAAGAGCGTTTTTCCTTGTCCTGTAAAGTTACCTTTTCATGGTTTTGTTCTGACAGCAGCGATACATATGTGACATTTTGTGGCATTGTTTTTTTTGTTGTCCACGTCCATTATTTTCCCAAGAAGTGTTTTAATAAATACATGACATATACATGGTATATATAATCAAAAGTTTTTATAACACTAACTATATGTAAGATACTAAATGCACATAGGTATAAATACAAATATATGTGCAGATATAAAAATGCACATCATGTCCTTTTCAGTAAATTTTTTATAAAAGTTTTAATTTTGAAAACCTTTTTTGTCATTGACTCATAGCCTATAGCCTTGTCCTTTCACCCAGCTCCAGTTTGCACCTCCTTTCCTCATTTGAATCAGACCTATTGATGTATCTGTAGATATGACACTTCTTCAGTGTAAAGCCAGGACATCAGTTTAAAAAAAACCTTATTCAAAATAGTTACTCAAATGTTATTAATGGTTTTAGGCAGGAAATTGAAACAGGAATTGAACAGAGAGGCTAGACATAAGAAATATATCACATTTACTTGCTTGTTTCAGTCCTTAATAAAGAGACTCATTTTCTCTTGTCTCTATATTTCCGCTGTTTTCTTTTTCTTAGCAGTCAAAGATGAGTGAGGTGGAGCTGTCATGTCTGGCGTATGTGAAAATGTTCCTGCATGCCAGCACGTTTCCCCGCTGCAGTGTGAATGGACTGCTATTATCTTCCAGTCCAACAGAGGGCGCTGTATGTGTAACAGACTGTGTTCCTCTGCTTCACTCCCACCTGCCTCTGGCTCTCACCACACAGCTTGCGCTCACACAGGTAACAAATGGGCTCTAGTCTGTAACTAGAACTGCAAAGTGCATCTATGTAGTTAGTGGATCTGATAAAAGGGACAAATTGTGTCTCATTCAGAAAGACTAGTTGTGAGAGAGCTGTCAGAGATATGTACAGTTGTTTATTTCATTTATGGTTAAAGAAATTGCAGATCAGTTCATACACAGAATTGTATTGTAAATGGTATTTTGAAAAAGTCATTGGTGGGATTATCATCAGATCATATCATATTTGTAATATATCATAAAGGGGCTCGCCATTCGTAGGGGAGCGAGAGAGCAGTGTCTGCTAACATTGAGTTAACTGGACAGCTCACTACCCAGCACGCTGTCATTTATTAGCAAAAATAAATGCAATTGATTTAATGTTAGCTAGCTTGCAATCTGGAACAGTTGGAAACTTATTTAGGTGACCTATATTGATGTTTCAATAATAGTCAAGAACCACTGCATAGCAGCAAACAATCAAATGTCAAATGGTGCGTCAGCAAAATTGGAGCACATGTGGCTCAGCACTCAACATGAAATTATTTGCCGATAACACCAAAGAAGGTGATGATGCTGTAATTTGTGACTGTTTCATTGAATGTATCTTCCAACACCTTTTCCAAAAAAAGTTGGGATGCTGTACAAAATGTAAATACAGAATGCAGTGATGTGCAAAGCATTCAAAGATTCAGAGAATCTGGAGAAGTCCTTGCATGCAAGGGACAAGGCCGAAAACCAGTACTGGCTGGCTGTGATCTTTGGGCCCTCAGACGGCACTGCATTAAAAACAGACATGATTCAGTAGTGGACATCACTGCATGGGCTCAAACACTTCTGAAAACCACTGTCTGTGAAAACAGTTCGTCGCAATATTCACAAATGCAAGATAAAACTCTAAAACGCAAAGAAGAATATATATATATAAATAGGATCCAGAAATGCTGCCACCTTCTCTGGGCCCGAGCTCATTTAAAATGGACTGAGGGGAAGTGGAAAAGTGTCCTGTGGTCCGACGAATCAACATTTGAAATTCTTTTTGGAAATCATGGATGCCACATCCTCCAGGCTTAAAAGGAGAGGGATCATCCAGCTTATTGTCAGTGCACTGTTCAAAAGCCAGCATCCATAATGGTATAGGGGTGCATTAGTGCACGTAGCATGGGTGACTTGCACATCTGTGAAGGCATCATTTATGCTGAACGATATAAAAATAGGTTTTGGAGCAACATATGCTGCACAGCATCCCAACGTTTTTGGAAAAGGTGTTGTAAGATATAGTCAGTACAGTATCAATACAGTATCATCACTTTCTTTGGTGTTATCGTCAAATAATTTCGTGTTGAGTGCTGAGCCACGGGTGCATGCAGGGCATTATAAGGCAAAATTTTCCCAAAGACAACTTACATTTTAGATTTACTACTTACTTACTGTCAACATTAGACATAAAACTCAGAAGGCACGTTTAGGTTCACTGGTGGTTTTGGATAGTAAAAAATGGCTTTATTTGTGTTTATTGCCTATATTGGGACCCCTGGTTCCCATCACCACCACGGAAAAGAAATCTGAGTCAGTAAGTTGATATGAACTAATTCACATCAAACCACTCTGACTGACTTTGTTTACATCTCACTGATTGAATTATGCAGAATAATTAAAAATCTGTGGTTAACTCTCCAGGGAGATAGAATAGGGCGCCCCTGTATTAGGAGATGAAAATCAAAACCACAGAAAATGTCAGGCAACTTGTATAAATTAATGCAATGTTGCAAATTATGGCAGTTATATGGTAATATGGTAATTGACTAACTAAAATTATACTATGCATATCTAATTTACATATGAATTTTGAAATGTCAATGTTTTTTGCAGGTGGACGTATGGTGTGCACAAACACAGCAGAGGATTGTGGGATATTATCAGGCTAATGCGTGTCTATCAGATAGCAGGTATGTCTTTCTGTGTGTTGCTTGCACTTCTTGCATTCATTTGTTGATGAGAAGAGTCAAAGTAAAGATAGAGGAGTAGATGAAGGAGTGAAAAATAAGATAAAGACAAGGAGTACAAATTAAAAAAAAATATATATATATATATATGAGAGAGAGAGAGAAGATCAAGATCAAGATGGTGGAGCAAAGATTCAGATAAAGATCAGTGAGGAGCCGCAAAGGAGAGTCAGCTTAATTCCTAGTTATTTTCCAGTGGAATGCCTGCATTTTTTCTCTTTGTTGTTTCTTTGAACAGTCCGACTCCGTGTGCTCTGAAAATCGCAGATAAGATCGCAGAGCAGTTCAGTAATGCTGTTTTACTGATGGTAAGATGCTATATTTAATAACATTTTTTTTCACAGATGTTGTTCATTTCTACATGTTTTCTGCTGTTTGTTTTATTTAGCTTTTATGCACATTAGATTACTTTAATATACTGTAAAGCAGCTTTTCCCTTAAATGACAAGTTTATACAAGCATTATTTGTGTGTGTGTGTGTGTGTGTGTGTGTTAGATGGATGGTAGGAAAATGTCTCCCAGTTATCGTGTCCCCCCAATAGTGATGTATGAACATAAAGACTCTCGATGGACCCTAAAAGACAAACACACGTAAGAACGCCACTTACATACACTGCTGACCTCTTATTTATCCCATTACCAAACCTTGATAATGATTGTGATTAAATGTTTTTATTAATACATTAAAAAATATAAGGATGGATAATTTACTTTTTTATGGAATAATGCTGAATAATTCAGTGCTTTATGGAATGATGCTGAATAACTTTGTGTTTTACAAATTTTTGTTCTGTTTTGTAGAATAATGCTGCGTCAGTGGGAGGAAACTCGTTCGATTGCCAACCAGTTACTGAATTCATGTGATCACACGTTATTGGTGGATTTTGACAGCCATTTGGATGACATAACAAAAGACTGGACTAATCAGAAGCTAAATGCTAAGATAATGGAGCTGGCCTCTCCGGCTAATGGTAACATGTAAACTGTGTACAAGCATTATCTGTTGAGTAAGTTATTATTTTAAAACATTTTAGAAAAATCTAATTTACACTAATAACACTTTTTATATTTGTAAAATTTGTCTTGCTACTACATTCATAAAATATACTCTCCTTGCAAATGTGTTTAGAGTACAAACTGTACATGAAACACATTACTTTGGTAGATAATACAACTTTTATCTGTAAAATTATCAGATCATCTTATCATCTTATCAGAGTGGTTTGGTATGAAATATGTAATTCTAGAGAAACTTACTGACTCAGAACTGTTCTACAGTGGTGATGGGAACCAGACTATTGCCTCTGAATGCTACCTCACAGAGACATACAAAGGTTATGAATACATTGCCTGATGTCTGAGACATTGTTTTGGAATATATTTTTAAAGTACATGCAGGACAGACAGTTATAAGCACAGCACTGTGTGGCAATACAATACCCTAAGAAAACGGACGTTTTCAGATGTACCACTATTTTACCATTAGCAGCATTACTTAGAACATAAAAATGAACTCAGAAGACATGTAGGTTCACTGGTGGTTTTGGATAGTAAATACAATGGCTATATTTGTATGGTACACATTGCGTCCCCTGGTTCCTATCGACACCACTGTGAAGAAATCCAAGTCTTTAATTCTCTCTGCAGTGGACCATTTCACTCTGAATGACTCAGTGATTCTTAGAATTATGCAGAGTTTTTTCCCCTTAAAATGTTGTACAGATAGTTTCAGTCTTCCTTTACTGATTAGAGTATGTATTGCAGTTTTATCTCACTTTATCTTTCTGTTTATGTACGACAGCATTTTAGTTTATAAAACTACTGTTAATAAAGATAAAAATAGTAGACTTCGAGAATAAAGTCATAATATTTCGAGAAAAAAGTTGCAGTATTTCGAGAATAAAGTAATATTTCAAGAAAAAAGTTGTAATATTTGGAGGATAAAGTGGGCTAACTGTAGGGGGGCTGCCATAACACGTTGGGGTCTCGCTTTCTGTACAGGTGACAGCAAAAAATGGTCAGCACGGAGTTCCTCTCACTCCTGTCTCCTTGTGGATCGATTATTTTGATTATCATTCTCATTGTCTGTGAAACTTCATGCCCTCTTTGAATGCCACAGAGATGTAGCCCCCGATAGCCGTGTAGACGACCCTGCCTGCGATTCTCCTTCAACAAAACAGACAGACAGTTTCCTCCGAGTCCGTCTGGCTCTTTATTCTACGTAAACAGTTTCCTGCTCAGCCGTTTCATCTGTTTCTTAGACTAATAACAGGCTGGTGCTGATGAGCAGGAGAGAGAGGGAGACTGAGTGTTTCTTTATGGGTGAATCAATATGAAAGTATAACTCCACCAACTCAACGCCCCTCATTTTAACACGAGGAGGTGTTGCCTTCTCTTTGCAAAGCCTTGGCTACAGTATTGCAACCTTTCCTGGTATTAATGCCACTTTAATGTCGTAATTCTACGACTTTTTTCTCAAAATATTAAGATTTTTTTTTTTCTAGAAATAGTACAACTTTTTTTTCTCAAAATGTCATACCGTACGACTTTATTCTCGAAATATTAAGACTTGATTCTCAAAGTCTATTTTTTATTTTTATTAACAGTGGCCCTAAAACACCGTCGTAGTTTATGACATATTTACATTCCTCACAACTACAATGCCATTCAATTTGTAACATGGAGTAACCAATTGTTAAAATACTACCCTCCAGTATAATAATCGAAAGTGCTCAAATACATATGAACCTTAAATGATACCTCAGCTCAGAACCTTAATTAAATTATCTAATCTTAAGCCCATTCCCATTCATTATTTGCACACTACTTTGGAGTGTTGATACTTCTTTGTAGGATAAGATTAAAGTCAGCCTGAAATCCAAATGAACCTTTATGTCTTGCTGTTTCATGTGCCTGGTCATATAAAGCACAATTCATCATACAATTTCAAGAACAAATTTCTTGTTTTCCTGTAATCATCCCTCAGAACGCAATGACTTCTGTTTTTTGATTGTCATTGTGTAACAGCGTGCAGGGGAAAAGTAGTGTTGACCAAGAGTATCAGGTTTCTCTTCCTCCTCCTCCCACCACCCTGATCTCTCATCAAGAGAAAGTGCTCAGCTAGAACAGAGACCTTCCCCGTCATGGAAGAAAAAAGCATTATAATTCCTTTTTCATGTTGACTTTAAGGGTGATAAACAAGGATTAGTCCTTTAACAGTGTTGCCAATCTATAATCAGCATACCAGTCATTCCACAGCAGACTGTAACTCAATGAAAATGCCAATATTACTGCTAAATATAATTTTATTTGCTTTATTATAACAAAGGGTAAAGGCCAGGGGTCTTGGACTCAAATTACCTGAGGGCTGCTGGCTAGAGAGTCTTCTCTAACAACCTTCTTACAACCTGAAGTTGTAAACTAAAATACAAGGAGGTGACCCATACCTCCCCTTAGGGGAGGAACTTTAACTACATAACATGTACACTAATTTAGGCGCTTCTTAATGTTCATTTCACAGTTTGTGAATGCTTAAACATTTTTATATAGAAAAAGACAGTAATTTATTGAACACAGAAGAGCATAAAACATTTTAACACTGTTGTTAGATTTTTGAGCACTTTTGAACTTCAGTTATAGGGCTTTATAACAGCGCTTCGTACATTCATGACCTCAGTGACCTGCTTCACTCAGCCAATGAGCTGATCAGGTCACCAACCAGTCAGCACTCAGTAGCAGCAATCAGTAGCAGTAATGCTAACATCCTACTGCTGTTCCTACTACATCCTACCACTGTTTGCTGTAGAATAAAGGAAATATACAGGTAAGTTTTCTTTGCTTTTTTAGCGAAATACATCCTTCTGCTTTTCAAAATTAAACGAAGGTCCTGTACAAATGCTCCAAAACAATTTAAACTATTTTTAACCGTTTCACCACCATTTACTGAGGACTCACTTGTGGGTTCCCTCTGGTGTTTTGCAGTTATGTTTTTGATATAACAGGAGAAACAGGAAGTGGCCAGACTCCCCTTGAACCGGGTCTGTTCCTGCTGAACGCCAGTGAAGTTATCGTGAATGAAGTGTTGGCAGTTAGTAGATTCGTCTGATAATTCCATTCATTTCTTAATTATAAAGGACTGTTTCTCATGCTATATTCTCATGCATGCCATGTCATGAATGAATGCACAAAGGCAGAATTAACTTTCAGTCTAAATTAGCATAATAGCCAAGTTATAGCTGAGTTACAGTCATACCTGTTGCAGCGCTCTAGTTTTACTTTTAACATAAGAGTCAGCCTTATGTTAGGCAATCAGGATTTAAGGATAAATTGTATATGTGTGTTGTGGCAAAACTTTCAATCCCTCAGTGGGTGTATTTATTTATTTATTAGTGTTTTAAAACCAAAATCACAACACAAGACAACAGATGTACAAATAAAGTGTCTAATTCAAGTGTAATACTGGGTGTGACTGAACCGTAAAGGAGACTGAACTGCTACTGTAGTGCATGTTCAGGAGATTATTTTCTACATATTTTTACATTTCACAAATGGACCTTGACCGAATGATAAAAAAGACTATTTGTAACATTAAAGCTATTACGAATTCACTGGTTGTTCTGGTAATGACACAAGGTTGAGTGTGACCTCTCCGGATGGGTTCTGCTGAGCCAAGCTCTGCAGGATGCTCAGAGAATTCCGGAAGGACTGGGCTTCCTCGATCAGTTTGTCAGCCCATGGAAGAGAAATCTAAAGGGAGAAGAGAGAGAGCAAGAGAGATTAATGAGTATAATCAAAATGTGTTTCAGGACCAAGTATAAAAATAGTTCAGTAGCAGTTTTATAAGTGACAATTTCTTATAAGCATTCATCTGCTGACTGTCTCTGATGCTCTGGATTTAATGTATTTAATGGACATCACTGGTTTTAGTTGTACAGTGCTGCTTCAAAGTTGAAATCAAAGATATGATCAGATCTTCATTTATGTCACAACAATAGATAAAGAGTACAATAATAAACAACACAAACAATTATATAGTTTTTCATCCATTTATTGAACAAAGTGATTTAACATTAAATGTCTTGGCAAAAGTTTGTGAACCTCTAGAATTATCAGTTTGGTATAGGTGATAATCAGGGTCAGGTGGTTCGATCAGTTGGATGACTATCAGGTGTGAATGTGGCTGACCCTACCGTATTTAACAAACATAAAGTCTTCACCATCAAAATCTGGTCTTTACCACACACATCTGTTAGTGCATGCAATGCCTCATTATCTGGCAACACTCATTAGGATGGAAGAGGCTCCAAAACTATTTCTAAAGAGTTTGAAGTTATCCAGTCCACTGTCAGGCAGACAGTGTGCACATGGAGGAAAATGAACATCATTGTTACCCTTCCCTGGAGTGATCATTTAATGAAAATGGCTCCAGGAGGTATAGAATATTTTGGGAGATCACAAAGAACCCCAGGATAACATCTAGGGACCTGCAGGCCTCTCGTACATTGGCTAATGTCACTGTCTATGACTCCACCATCAAGCAAACACTGAACAAGGATAGTATGTATGGAATGTCAGCATGGTGAAAGTCAGTTCTCTCCAGGAAGAACATTTTTGCCTTTTTGAAGTTTCCTAAAGACCACCTGGATGAGCCAGAAGATTACTGAGATCCCGGCTATGAAACATGGTGGTGGCAGTATCATGATCTGGGGCAGTTTTGCTGCTATAGGACCAGGACATTTTGCCATAATTTGAGGAATCTTTTGGTTGAAGTCATTGCTGCTCAAGTGGGTCACACCAGTTCTTGAAAGCAGAGGTTCATGTGCTTTTGCCAGCAAAAACATGAGATTACTATGTTCAATAAATGAACGAAAAACTATGTAATTATTTGTGTTATTAGTTAGGTTATTAGGTTTTCTTTATTTATTGTTAAGTTAAATGACTTAAATGAAGATCTCATCGCATCAGTTTAACCGTCCAGTTTAATACATTTCAAACCAATTTAGAACAGTTCTAAACAGAACAAGGTTTTTAGAAGCATAGTGTAAAGTGCAAATAACTCACGAAAGACAAGAACTTTATTTCTCACAACTGTTTAGAATTAGGTTTACTACTTTAATCAATATTT